GGGTTGCGAAGATCTGGCTCGGATACTGAGGGACCTGAGTGGTCCGAAATACTCTCTGTATTAGGGCTAGTTCGCGGTACGTCCGAGCTAATGCCAGGCGCATGCCGTGCGTGGAGTAGTTGGATGGGCAAGAACCCTTGTCAGTCTCCAGCACTCTAGATTTTCAGTGGTTCGAAGTCCTCTCACCTTGTGTACTAGCCTGCGAGGTCCCTCTCTACCCGGATAGTGGCGTCCGTACTCGGTCGATCCGCATGGAAATATCAATATTTGTCAGCGTGGATTTGGGAAGATGAAATGGAGTCCAAGGTCAGAACCATCGGTTCAAACACCCGAATTTGAAGCCATGGCACATTAACATCCGATTGGGCAGACTCCTAAACCACGGCGATGCTTTGCTTTTCGAGCTCTTGGGGCTGAGATGAGTTAATTTCAAGGCTAAGCCCAAGCGATATGCAACGTCTAACTCCTACATACATGAGTCCCCCCATTTTCGCAACACCACCGCCAGAAAGCAGAACAACGCTTGGTGCATAGCATTTGAGTAAACTCTCAGTACCAGCTTTTAGTCAAGTCATATAGATACTAAAATACCAGGCTAATCATCTGAGGTGGTATACTAGGCGGCAAGTGTACGTTCTCCATCTTCCCAACTTTTTAATAGCAATGCCAGAGACCTCACTTCAGCCCATATTGCACGGAATGGACTCCCATAGATGCGTTCAGAGAAGTAATACAAGCGCAGAGAGTCTTCAATCTGCACCCAATGCTGATGACCATATTTCTGGATGACCTTGCTTAATGCGGCAATGAACCACGTTCGCTCTGGTTGACCGAAGCTCATGTGGGCGCCCATAAATAGTGCCCACAATAGTGCCCCTCTTGCTTCGCTGCCACATGATGACATGTCGACGGCCTGCAATACATTTTTCAAATCACCCACTAGACAACGCGCTACCTTGCTGGAAGGCTGCACAACATTGTAGTGGCCAGTGCTGTAAAGCACCAGACTCCAGCGGCAAATTTCTTGGATTGTTGGAGAGGACAGTATCTGCTCGAAAGGATAGGATAATAAACGATGGTCGACCTTCATCCGACTAATTGAGATCGATCTTTTCTCGTTCACCGTGAAGTCGTGAACTCCAATAAGCTCGTAACATCTGCGCTCCCACGTTAGAGATGTTGAGGAGGTACGACTCATTTCGGAATTTGCTAGATGCTTACATCCAAACCCAACGAGTCTGCCATAATAGTTCACAAAAGGCGGCATCAAAATATTGCAACATCTCCGGGCGTAGTAGACCCTGGCCAACCGACGAAATCGTCGGGTACTGATCCATGATGGTTTCAGCTAGGCGCTCGATAGATAAGGTGGGCTGAGCAAGGATGACTGGCAACTTCGGTCTGGTGCGAGTGCGGATAGAGTGCCAGAATGAGCCTCTGACCGGACATCGATTAGCACTGTTCATCACAACGTGTGGGTGGCAATTCCACTCACACCATGACGGCTTCGATAGCCTTGCGCTGCATCCCTACGAACCCACCGCGGAAATCGAGTAGTCTCTGGACATCATCCATTTGAATACATTCTTCGCCTGAAAATATCTGGCCATGTTCGGCGTGAGAAAAGCGGCAACAGGAATGTGAATAGTGCCACGTACCTCTTGCCAGAGCCAAAAATGTACGGCCATCATAGTTGATGGCTTGGCTGCTTGAATTGGACTGCTCAGACTTTCATTCAATGCTCGAGTCGCCAGGGTTCTGTATTGAGACTGCTCCGGGTATACGATCTTCCTCGTCGAGTGGCCAAGGTTGGTAACGGATGTTTGCTCGATATCCAGCGACATGCATCTCAGCAGCGCGTACAGTAGAGCTGAATCAGACATAGCGAGAGGAACGAGCCACTGCTGATATTCAGCCCTCTCAACTGGAGCTGGTTCGACAACGGGCATAATAGTGCTTAGGTAATAAATGAACACAGGTTCCATTTCAGCCGTGAGGTGGATAGGAGTAGTCCAAAACGGATCAATCCTATGCGAGTCTATCTGGGATGATAAACTAATACGCGGTAGGTGGTAAGAGGGTCGATGACAGATTGTTGAATGGTGAGGCCGGGTTTGTTCTTTGAGCGTCTTAGACGTTACGGCCTGCACGTCATGCTGCTCGACGGATTGCAAACCCTTCGAGGCGAGCCGCCTTCGCGGGTGACGCGCTATAGCTCCGCTGATGGCTCCGTTACTGAGTTGCTTTGACGGCTTTGATCTATTGCGATGATATTTTCCGATGTGTGTGGAAACAAGTCGACGGTTTGCTTTGACCTCGTCAGTGTGGCCTTGGTAGTTCACAAAAACCACTGGAGAAATCATAGTTGTTCTGCCCTCGACAAATGACTCAATTCGACTTGGGGTAGCATTTGCTATTTCCTATGCGCACATCTGTTGACAGTGGAGTCAACGAGGAATAAGCTTGTCAGTTCAGAGATTTTGAGATGGCACGGCTGGAAGAAAAGATTTCACAGAGACATCGAGTTTCAAACCATCGCAGACACAATTTCTCTAGCCATACTCATGGACTATGAACGAATTAGCAGTTGTGCGCAATGTAGGACTTCACATACAGCCCTGGGCGACATTTTACCATTTCGCGATCTGTATCAGTCATTTTGTAGCTCCGAGCTAGACTCCACTGGGTAATGACTTCTAACCACTTATTAGGCCGCAGAACCTAGTGCACAAGCTAATGTAATGGTAGTCTGCATCGTGCGCCGTATTCGATGACCAATCCTCTCTGGCCCGTCTCTTGGCGCCTTTAGGAAAAGCTTGCGTCAAGGAACGGGCGTTAGTAAATTATGGCTATCATTTAATGGATACTTGCCGAGAGTCGCTTCAAAACTTGACGCAGAGTCTGGTGGGTCATCCACAGTACTAGGCTTTCGCGCACAAAGAGTAACGAACATAGATACTGAACTAAACACTTCAAGAGACCTGGACTATACAAGACTCCAAGCATCTTCAAGTTTCTGGTATCCGGCCCCGATGGGGTTCGTGACATCTACTCCACGCCGCCGAATGTTATGTAGCTTTGAGCTTTGCTTGTTTATGCTGAATCAATACGAAGGACAGAACTCGCCAGCCCCCATCCACGCCTTTCTTACATTCTCACATATGCTCTCGCACTTTATACTATAGTGATGAAGATGAACATGGCTGTGAGCACTATCGGAGATTTATGAGATTATCCGACCAAAGTCACATGCCCTGAGCATATCTGTTGCTGCCAAGCCCTTTCTACTCCACCGTAATGGTCCGCCGTATCGCAATTTACCACTAGTGCAGTTATCAGCTCGACAAGGACCAAAAACCTCAGCTGGACAGGGTCAATAACCAGTTATTATAGCTCAACGAGAGTCTCAGGAGATGCGGAAAAGGCCATTCTAGATCGTCACCACGCGTAATTTATATAGAGAGAAGAACAGGCTCCATGAGTAGAGAAAACAGAGACAATTGGACAATTCCTGAAGTGCATTTCCTACCGCCAAGCCTCCAACAATATCTACCCAAACCATGCCAATAGCTATTTGCAGCCGTGCTTCCCTCGAAGCCATCCCTACACGACCTAGGTGGCCTCGAAATGACATTGTACTTCGTAGTACGAATCTCGAGATACATCTACTGTGACCGCCGATTTATTCTCCTTCAACCTTTTCGGTAATCCACTATCGATTCTTAAACCGCAATGCACTGCGAAGCGCTTAACACAAAAAAACATCACTTCCCTGACTGATTTCTTCCACCCATTTCAGTACCACAATCACAGTATCTAGGATCGAGTTATGATGTAGCGATGCGTCTTGACGAGAACAACGAGTTTTAAGCTTGGACAGGTGGCTTAATCTTGGGCTTCATCTGGACTTTAGGCCTCCGATTGAGTTACTTGGCTAGATACATGTGAGACACGTGGATAGGAGAACACATGTGCTAACTCTCCGGCCGTGCTCTGAGTTTTCCAGGCTTTTGATCGGCGGCTTAACTACCTCGGTATTTGTCACGGGGTTTCGTTGTCTAGGTTGGGAAATCACATTTCAAACTCTCGGTCTCTAATCTAACAACTTAGGTAGGTAGTTATCCAGCCATTCGGGTACCTTGGGGAAATCGAAAAATCCCCACGTTCTTGGCGATACCAACTGGAGTCAATGTGCGTGGCCCAGGGCCTCGGTACGTGTCGCTGACTAGTTACTTCACAAACAACCTTTTACGAACAACTCTGCTCAATGACATCCTCCTCAATCGTTCAATACCAGGAAAGTTTGTAGTAACCCTCAGATCTGTAGAAGCTCGCTACCGGGGATCGACCATTTAGAAGGGCTTAATATGCCATCCCGGCGTCGTCGTAAACCAACCTGAATTGTCTATTATTGTTTCTGGATCAATTCACCAATATACCGGCATCCTTAAACCAGACTGACTTTGCATGTCTTCGATGGAAAAAACGTGGCTCCCCACGTGGACCAAAGCTACCGAGCTCTCGATATTCTGCGGTGATCAAAGATTCGTACTCGGTACTTGAAGTGAAGTTCTCCGGATATCGATGAAATTACTGAAGAGCTCCGGTCGGACTTCAACGCTCTGAGCTTATCAGGCACCCACATAAGAGAATATTTGCCAGCCGAAGCGGACTATGAAATAGTCAAGATGGTGCTTATCTTGACGCCAGCCAAAGTCTTTCCTTGGCGCTGTTTCAATGGAAATCACGGGCTGGTATCTGTAGCGACGCCTTATCTCTGGATCCAGACCACGGTAACTCTCCTGACGGAGTACTCCATGTTCGGGACCCTGAGCTACCGCAAGTAATCATGGATCGCAGCGATAAGAAGAAAGCGGTTGGCAGGTCTATATTTAATGAGCGAGGACGGTCTGACAATCGGTCCTTTGGTTCGTTTTCTGATTCTGCCGGATGTGCGTTTTTTCCAGGTCCTCGTATATCTCTCAGCTTGAAGGCTGACAATGGATTCGCAGTACGAGAGCAAGGAGGTTAAACTCACAGTCGAAAGTGCTGCTGGCGCCGATGCGCAGGCTGGGGAGCTTGTCGAAAAGTCTTTCTGGCTCAAGACACGAAAATGGATTCGAACCATTGGTGCCGAAGAGCTCGGTATTGAGAGAATCCCAGAAGAGTTGCGTACCAATCAACGCGCAAGCGATCTCTTCACCATCTTTTTCAGTGCAAACTGCAATACCGCCACGCTTGCCCTCGGCTTCTTGGGCCCAACACTCTTTGGACTAGGATGGTGGGATTCTTTCTGCTGTCTACTCTTCTTCAACCTCTTCGGCGCTTTAGTCCCAGCAGTAGTCGCTCCATGGGGCCCCAAAATGGGCCTCAGGACGATGATCATTCCTCGATACAGCTTTGGTTGGTGGCCGGCGAAGGTCCTCGCCATCCTCAATTGCGTCAACCAAATTGGTTGGGCCATGGTCAACGCTATCTCTGGAGCGTCAGTGATGTACGACGTTGGCGATGGTAAATTGCCATTGACAGTATGCGTACTGATCGTCGGCCTGCTTGCTGTTCTCCTGGGTCTGTTTGGCTACAAGGTTCTACACTTCTACGATCGATACTCATGGATTGTCATGGTCATTTGCTTCATCATTGTTGCAGGTTTTGGCGGAAAACACTTCGTTAACATTCCTATGGGATCGGGTGGAATCGAGGCATCGAGCGTTCTATCTTTCGGCACAGCCATTATTGGGTTTGAAGTCGCTTGGCTACCAGTTGCTGCGGATTATGGCGTTTACATGCGCTCAGACACCAAGAGCCTGACCTCGTTCTCGTGGTCGTACTGCGGATGGCTATCTAGCCAACTCTTCATCGAATTGCTCGGTGCGGCCATTGGCACGCTTATTGCCAACTCCGATCCTGTTTTTGCTGATGCTTCAGGTATTGGTGGTCTTATCGGAGCCTGCTTTGGCGCGTACGGATCCGGAGCTCGTAACTTTGGCAAGTTCATTGAAGTACTTCTCGGCTTGTCATGCGTCGCCGTCATCACCACAAACGTTTACTCCCTCGGGCTGAGCGTGCAGATGGTGACCCAGAAGCTTCTGGTTGTGCCGCGCTTCGTTTGGTCTTCCATTGGAAGCGTCATTTTCCTTGCTGCAGCCATGGCTGGTCGAGAACATCTTGAGGAAGTCATGGAGAACTTCCTTCTCATCTGCGCCTACTGGATTGTCCCCTTCTCTACAACTTTCATCTGTGAGCATTATATCTGGCGCCGTGGCTACAAATACGACCTAAATGCATGGAACGATCGCACCAAGTTACCGCATGGCATTGCTGCATCCATCGCCTGGGTTATCGGGACAGTACTCGGACTTCTGAACATGAGCCAACATTGGTGGGTTGGCCCCATCGCTGCTGGTATTGGTGATAGCCCCTACGGGACGGATATCAGTTGGATTCTGGCAATGTTCGCGACCGCGATCATCTACATTCCCCTCAGGATGTGGGAACAAAAGAAGTACAACAACTTCTACGTTACATCGCTCCCAGAAAGTTCTTAGATCGATGCCAACCTTGATATCTCTTCTCAATCTTGTTAGTATTCCAAGCTGTTGTTTTCCGGGTAACGAAGTATATACGGTAATTTTAGATTCAAGGAAAATAGCCACAACAGGGGATTCTAAAGTCTTCATGAATTACTAATAATCATGTCATACTCACGTGAACCCACGGTCTTCCAAGGCCGCCAACGACCTAGGGAGATGATCCTGGGACCTTGGCAAGCATTACCTGTCCTCGGTCGCTGTCCTCACATCGCTATTCATATCTCAGAACACCCAACATCGTCATAGACCACCTTCCCTCATGTTTCGGAAATCACGTCCTTTTAGGACTGTTGTGATAGAATCTCATCACTGACTACAGGCGGATAATCCACCTCGTCGAGATAGAAGCTCAGGTCACCTCGCTCCTTGTCCATAGCGGTCCATCCATTACCGAGCCACTCGAGTGGATCATGTCCCTCCAAGGCCTCGTGCTCAAAGTCTTCCCATCTGGGATTCTCGAGCGTAGCTCGCGCATGCAAACTACTTCCAGGCCAAAGTCCTGTGATTTTACCATTGACCTTATACCAACTCGTGCATTCGTCTACGTGCACTGTGCCAGGAAAGTAGGCATCAAGATATGCTTCCCAGGATGTGAGCGCGTTGCGTTTTGCTGACATGGATTTCAGGTGTTCGCGGCTGATTTTGGCGACCGCTTTGACAATGTAGCCGATGATGGACTCGAATATGATGAGGAGAGAGCCACCTCCAGTGGCTGAGTTGGGACCTCCGACAAAGAAGTAGTTTGGAAAGTCGGGGACAGAGTGTGACATATAGGCGGAGGCATGATGAGACCACAAGTCAGCCAGAGTGACACCGTCATTGCCGGTGATGGGGAACGTGGGCATGAAGCTGGTATCAAAACCAGTTGCGCAGGCGATGGCATCGACTATCCATTCTTTGCCATCAGAGGTCAGAATAGACTAGGAACAGCGTCAGAAATGTTGTGGTTTTATCCCAATGGGGTGGTAGGCAACCGGCTTACATTCTTTGACACATGCTCAATTGGGGTTGTGATAAAATCAACGTTATCTTTGGTAAGACTTTCAAGGTAACCAGGTCCAGGTGTCAGGCGGCGACATCCAGGGATGAAGTTGGGCTTCAGGGCCTGATAGACTTCAGGCTTCGATGCCAGTTTGCTCTCCATGTTTCTCACAATAGCCGCTGTGCCTGCAAGCTCCTCGGGCGAACCAGGAAACAGACACGGGTAGTCCATGTTGATTGCTCGTTCCATGGCCTTTCGAAAGTCCTTATAGTATGGTGTATCGTGTGCAAACCTGTGTTTCTCCTCGTCCGTATAGGTGTAATTGCCCGGTTCGTCACTCTGTGCCAGCGTGTTGCTTGTGAAGGTCGAGCCAAACGGCTGGCTAATCCAAGTGCCACCCCGGACAAAGTTGTGTACTGTGGATGCTTTTGCTTGCAGCTTTGGCAGCATTTGGATTGCTGATGAGCCACAACCTATGAGAGCTACCCTCTTCTGCGTCCAGTCCCTGCAAGGGTCAGTTTGGAAGGCATCAACGCCGAACTGCACAGATTGACAACGGATATAGTTACCATGAAGTGTCCCAGTCCGCTGAATGAAGAAGCTTGCCCTCGAAGTCGTGGAGCCCGGGAATCTCGGGCCATTTCCAGCGATTGAGGAGGCCTGTTGCACTGATGACCACCTCCGCTTCCACTTCATTGTCCATGACGATACTATCATCTCCACCCGTAGACTCGGTGCTCACTGCCCAGACCCCGGCTCTGGACTTCCAGGTGGCACCAGTTACTTTAGTGTTGTATCGGATTTTCTGGTCAACCTTATATTTCTTCGCTACATCCTTGACATAGTTCTGAATCTCCTCACCATCCGAGAAATATTTGCTCCATTGCGTATTCGGCTCAAAAGTATACTGGTACACATGACTGGGGATGTCGCAAGCCACGCCGGGATAACGATTCTCATACCAGGTACCGCCAAGGGATGGATTTTTCTCCAAGATTGTTATGCTGGCTGCAGGCACATACTGAAGCAAGCGAATGTAAAGTCCGATCCCACTGACACCAGCACCAATTATAATCACACGTATCTCTCGACCTTGGTCGACGGGCCGACCTGCGAGATGAAAAGGCGAGTACTTCGGAGGCTCTAACATCTTCGATTTGACAGCGATTGAGAATATGGCTGTAGGAACAACTTGACGAGAACTTACAGAGGCAAGGATATATAGACTCACCGGGGTTAGATGCGAAAGCCAATGCTGGTCCCATGAGGTGACTCGCTCTGCGATGGCTTGGAAATGATATTTCCCCTAAGTCCTCGGGCGTCCCACAGCTTCTAACAAGGGGATTGCCGGCCAGCAAGATAAGACTGAAATCACAGAGAGATAATCGGTACAGACTGAGAGCCCACAGGCATACCATGTTTCGATTGTTATCTACTAGGACAGTGGCAAGTCTGACTGGTTAGCGCTAGTGGCTGTACCTAGTTTCCGCTTCGTGGAGATGTGCGTCGATGGACGAATCTTTGCGGGCGAGCAGAAAGTTGAGGGCCTCATTATTCGAGAAGTAAACTCGGGAGTGATAGCTCGCATTAGCCTCAGACTGAGATGATGAATCTCGGCTCACCTGCCGTCTTAGAAAGGATTGAAAATTGGGGTTTTTTTGGGAAGGTGCGGAGAAGCAGCTTCCACGCGACAGTTTGTGACCAACAGCAACACCGCAAAGCAAGACTCCTGTGCAAGCACCATCTCAACTGTTTTCACAATCTTGCAGCAAAACCTGCAAATACCATACGACCCTTCAATAAGTTCGCGACTCCATAGAGTGGTCAAAGTCGGCCCCTGGTGCCTGCAATCTGGGGATCACACGGCTCCCTAACAACTAGCCGGGGGCTCATGGTTCCTCGCCCACAACAACTTCACGTTGAGAATCAGCATTTCCTCATCCAAGGCTAGCTCATGGTGGCCCTGGAACTTCATGCGCGCAGCTTCATGCTGCAGTGCAGAGTATCATCGCGTCTCAATTCAGTGCGTGTGCGACCCTCGCGCCTAGCACCACCGAAACCTCGGTTGTTCACGTCCTGTGTCCAATCTCGATTGCCAGCGACTAAGACGAAACCCTACTATGTCACATCTCCCATATTCTATGTCAATGCCGGTAAGCCTTCCTCTGGTCCCTGATTCTCAACACCCCAGCTGATGCAGATTCAGCACCCCATGCCGGCCATCTGTACACCCTTGTCCTTACCGATACACTCAAGCGATGGAATCGTCTCCTGGGCGATGACCGAGCAACCCTGTTGACGGGCACCGATGAGCATGGGTTGAAGATACAGAAGGCTGCTCAGAAAGCAGGAGTAGACGTCAAGACGTTCTGTGACGAACATGCGCAACAATTCCAAAGTCTCTGTGTAGCCGCCAATATTGACTATGATCGCTTCATCCGCACAACAGATTCCGATCACAAAATTGCAGTGGAACATTTCTGGAACGAGCTGAGTCGAAACGGATACATCTACGAGGCCAAGCATGAAGGATGGTATTGTGTCAGCGACGAAACATTTTACCCCGAGACACAGGTTGCGCGCGTGCTCGATCCTTCCGATGGGGTCACCAAAACCGTATCCAAAGAAACGGGAAAGGTGGTGGAATGGACTTCAGAAATCAATTATCACTTCAAACTGTCTAGCTTTCAGGACAAGCTTCTCACCCACTACACATCAGACCCCGAAGCATTCGTCCCTAAAGAGCGTGGTAACTCCATCATCAAGGAGATCGAAAGCGGTCTGAAGGATCTCTCAATCTCTCGACCTTCGTCTCGACTGACCTGGGGCATCAGAGTCCCCGGGGATGACACTCAGACCATATACGTCTGGCTGGATGCCCTTATTAACTACATCACCATGGCCGGATATCCCTCCAAACAGTGTTCGGGTGATGATTCTCTCTGGCCTCCGGATTGTCAGGTTATCGGCAAAGATATTGTTCGTTTTCATACAATATACTGGCCCGCTTTTCTGATGGCCCTGAACCTCCCACTGCCCCGCCGTTTCTTGACCCATGCCCATTGGACCATGAATTCCGAGAAGATGTCGAAATCGGCTGGGAACGGGGTCAATCCATTTTTTGCTATTGATCGTTTTGGTGTAGACGCGATCCGTTTTTACATGATTCACGAAGGCGGCATTGACGACGATGCCAGCTACGACAATTCTTACATTGCTCGCACCTACACATCTATGCTGAAAAATCAGTTTGGAAACCTTCTGAACCGAGTTTTCAAAAGCACCAAGATCAATAGTCGCCAGGCAATCAAGCTGGCATCCCAACCTGCCCTGAGGAACGATATAAAGCAGTATATCGAGAATCCCAAACTACTCCAGCTCTCACAACTCCAAAGTCTCCTTGCAGAAACCAAGATACAATATGAGTTAATCCAGAACCTCGGCCATGAAGTACAAACTCATATGAGTTATCCTAATCCCCGTGCTGCAATCCAAGCGATCTCAGAAATGATCCGACAGGTAGGTAGGCCGACCCAAGATGCCCTTCCCACGCTGACGTTCCCAGACCAACAAATTCTTTGACCGCGCTCAATTGTGGGACCGACTTTATTCCCAAATCACGGAGGAGGCGGTTGTAGCTCACTACTGTCTTTTCATCACCACCGAGACTCTTCGAATTATCTCCATTCTTCTGCAGCCTTTCATTCCTGGAAAGGCAAAAGGTGCATTGAATATGATGCATGTCAGTGACTCAAAAAGGACGTTTGCGCAAACTTCCATTGGGGCTGACTTTGATTACGGAACTGAATCACTGCTCCCCGGCGAGCGCGTTGAGGGCTTATTTCCCGCATTGCTGTCAGAGGACTGAGTGTGAGCTCGATTTACATCCATGTGATACGAATTCGACCATATCGCAGTTGCAGACTAGACTCAGGGGTCTTTGAACCTTGATTGCCGGACAATATCGCCACTCTATCAAAATCTATCTCTTGCAGATTTATACCCCGGCCATTTGGATAACCTACTCCGCAGAGTTGATCATAGCTCCTAGTTACACAGTAGATCCGCCGTCCGAGGACCCCTTCACATTCAAATATTGTAGCCGTGGAGCCGGCAGGAATGTTTTACACTTTGCACCAGCTCAATACTGATACGTTCGATGGCAAGCAAGTCACCTCCCGAGCAGCGAGGATCCAAGTTTGGTCCCATTTCGAGGAAGTCATTCGCTCTTCTCTCCGCGTCTAGGTGGCTTCATAGGAACGTGCTCCTTGCTGTGAGCCACTCTCCCGGCTACAACCAACCACCGAGCCGCACGCATCCCATGACTACAAGTGATTCCCACTTCCTCGGAACGGCGCCTCAACCTCTTTTCCTAACCCCCATCACTTCAATTCAACACTAAAATCGAGTCGTGATACTGCCGAGTGGAATCATTAGTCTCGCCTCACAGTGCCGTGTGCGTTGACTCATCCGAATCTTCAGACCACGGTGGGCTTCAAGATTGCCGCAAGCAGATCAATCCTCGTCTTCTATTGCTATGTGCGTCGACACTAGGCAGTGGTATGATGACCCTGCCTGGTCAGGGCTAGATGTAATGCTATTTGGTCATGGTCGTCCAGGTGCCATGATCTATGGCGGAAATTTGGGCATGACGGCGTTGAGCCAAGATATTGTTCTGTGAGCTACGCCATTGAAGCAGAAGGACCCACAGGAAAGAAAGTGCACAAAACAATGGCTAGACAGATGCCGCCTGCGAGAAGATAACGATAGCATTTGGACCTGTATGAAGTCATTACTCTGCATGGGTCCGAGTATGGGATGGAAGGAACTGGATGGGTGGATCATCTAGATCTTCAGATAGAATTGGTACTAAGATGGCATGCGTTGGCCCTTGCGTGACTAAGCGAACTGTGCCCATCGTGCGAATCTTAAGGTCTCTCACGTCCCGTTCTGTTGTAACAAGCATCATCTTGTTGCAAGGGGTTCAGCTAGTCGTAGTCTATAATCGAGTATATAACTGAGACGTGAAGTCCAAGGGACAGAAATGGTTTAATATACTAAATCTTCCTCTGCTTTGATCATAATTTTGAGCGTTCGCCAAATTTCAGGGCAATATGACAATGCATCGCACTGGTAATGTTCTAGACTGCCAACACTATCGAGGCGTGCCCCAAATGAAGCAAAAGTAGGAGATTGCGTGCCAATGCCGCTAATTGAGAGCTCCATTCAAATGATTAGAGATAGCTCAGACATACTCAGTGCATGGGAAGGTGCCTCAAGCATGGTGTTGAACACCCTTTGCCCTATGAATCGCAATACCCAGGTGCCTTTGCCGCACTGCCCTGTATCCACTGCTGAACTGTCAGGACGGTGGTGTAGACGCAAGCGACGACGCCAAACACACAGACGAGATAATCCAAACCACGTTGCCAAGGGGTCTTTGCCACAGCTCTCAAATGAAGCATAGGGGGATAGATGTACACAAGGGGGATACATGCAAAGCTTCCCACCAGCGCCACAAATTTGTCCAAATCTCCTGCGCCGCCCCACGCAATCAAAGCGCAGACGAAGACCAAGAAGAAGCGGAAGACATTCTTCTGCCACTTGATGTACGGGTTGTATTTGCCGGAGCGGCTGAAGAGTTCGTTTTCCATGATACGAATGGCAGGGAAAAGCTGCAGTGGAGTGCTGAGCAAGATTGCGAGCGAGTATAGGAACTGAACGCCGTTCACCATCTTGTTGTCCTGGGCAAGATTAAGGAGGATTACGGTTTTTGTCTGGGATCCGAAGGCCGCGTATGAGAGAGCACCAATTGAGGTGAAAAGAACTGTGATGATGACCATGACTATCGCCAGAACACTAGGAAATGCCTTGGGCTCCTTCATGGTTTCCTGAATGGGGATGATCAAGCCGACGCCCTCGAAAGTGAAGATGGCGGTACCGATAAAAAGGGTCCAGGTCGAAGGATTGAACAAGGTGATATCCGCGACTCCACCATAGTCGATGATGGTGTACGTATCGTAATAGTACAGATATATTAAACCCAGTAAGATGAAGGCATCAGCAACCAAAGCAGTGAAACCAAGCTTGCTGATATCGCGGACCAAACTGAGTGGCAAGAAGACGATGAGTTGCATGAGGACCATGAACTTGATGTCGATAAAGGTCTTGCACTTGGATACAGCAAGAACGAATGCCTGCAGATTCTCCGATGTGAAGACGGTATAGGCAGCGACAAATCCCACTTGACTGATAACAATGGAGAATAAGATCAAGCCTCGGAGCCATCTCCCATATAGGATGCCGCCAATTTCGCCAAACGAGGCTTCGACCCGAAGTCGAGTATTGACAAGCAAGATAAAACAGTGGAAACTCAAAATGGCAACGCCTAACAGGACCAACGAGGAGAAAAGCATGCCGCCATTGAGGAATGCGCGAGGAAGAAACAACACACCGGTACCCACGAAAGACTTGAGCAATAATAGAGCAGCATTCAATCGACTATTGTTCCCTGTGGGTGCTCGTTCTTTGTGTTTCCTTCGGCGCAGACCTGGCGTACCTGGAGTTAGAAGTGTACTGGTTTCTCCGGGCTCACGATCACTGCCATCGTCGTCGTAAGCGTCGGAAGAGAAGTATTCGTCCGGCTCAAGAACCTCGTCATCTTCCTCCAGATCCTCACCTGCGAAGTGCCCATAAAGAGTCAAGAATTCCAGGAAATTGTTTGTGAAGAGCTGCGGAGGCGGACGTGTGTTGGAAGCATTGCTCACACGAGCCCCTGTGCGATGCGCTCCAACACCGGTGCGCCCGACAGGAGCAGGCGAGTCTCCGGCTCGTCGGATGAAGTTGCGGCGAAACCCACCAGGAACGCGAATGCTGTTGATATCCAAGACTTCACTCTCTGGGTCTGGCCGTTGCACATGGAAACTTTTGCTTCGCTGGCCCCTACCAGCCTGAGTCGGATCCTGATCTTCTGCCCACCGATAAACAGCTCGGGTAACATCTCCCCCCTGCAGGCGGAGACTCGAGAACTCGTCCGAGGCTAGCCCGGAGGCTTCACCATCCAGGTCGAGACGAAGTGATCGTCCAGGGCGAGTGGGGGGGTGGTCGGATTGAACCAGATGCCGTCGAACCACCTCAGGGTCCTCGGTGGGAGCAGGACTACCAGCCATGTCCCTAGTGCCGAACGAGCCATAATTGTTTAATCTATCATGGCTCCCAAGGCCTGCGGAGGGGTTGAGGAAGGACTGTTTGGGGGTGGAGGGAGCATCAGGAGTGCGAGCAATTGGAGCAGAGTGAGTCAAGCTGCCAGCCAGGGCGGTAGACAGAGCCGAGTGACCTGGGCCGGAGAGTGAGGTTCCATGCTCGATCCTGGGAAGGGTGGAGTTGTTACGGGTGTCGGCTGCTAGCTGTTGAGGCGTAGGCACTTGTGCAATGGGAGGGGTGTTGAGATTGAGGCGAGAGGAAGGCACGGGAGAGGATAGTCGAGCTATGGAAGCGTGTCTTGAGTGGGAACCGAGTAGAGGAGATCCAGCTGCAGGACTTGAGGCGGCACTTCTCCGTCGGATATCGACGGGGTCGGTGGAAGGAGATGCCATCTTGGAGGGGAATCAGTACAATCTCATGGGAAGAGATTGGGAGTTGTGGGGAGTCGAAGGGTTGAAATGGATAACAAATAGAGAGGTTGAGTATGAGCCATGTGATAAAGAGTCGTTAACCTGCAGTGTGACCTGTGAGGCAGTACCTGAGCTCGCTGGTACGGTGATGAAGCGAGAGAATTATTGGGGGCTTTTTTTCTTTTTCAATGATGGTCGGTACGGCTGATGCCGATCCCAAGCGAGGAGAGAGACAGGTCCAGTCTGTGGCAGGTGGAAGCTGCCTGAATGACCGAGGACTGATGCTAGACACGTGACCCTCATCCTTTGCCACGACATACACGTGACTAACTGCCAAGTCTTTCTGTCCGCCCAGAGCACCTCGTTCTCACGCTCATTGCGACCAACTATGACTTTTGCAATGGCACCAAAACCAATTCGGAGCACAGTCGGCTCTTTCTTGTACATAACAGCTACCTATCCTAAGTAGGTATGTGCTAGGGACCCCGCCACTCTCAGGTTTTATTTTCATCTGGCCTAGCGTTCATCAATATTCCGTACCCTTCTGCTTCGTATCATTACTGCACCGCCACACTTCAATCCTTCGAACGCCAGTGATGTTTTTCGACCTGGGGTCACTGCTTAAAGCACTAATTTGAACCGCCTGTAGTTGCGGAGCACTGGTCGAGGTCGTCAGGGGCAATGATCCGAACCCGCTATCGGATTACACGTTGCTGGTAGAAATGGCGGAGCCTGAGGGAAAGGTTTGGCCAAATCTCGGGCGAGGTACTCTTACTCGGAGTCGACCTACGTTTCTAACGCGGACCGCCACCGATGAGGCCGCTCAACTGCTGAGAAGATCTTCTTTCCCTGTTGAGGGCACTGAGGGGGAAGCTCGTCCATCTTCTGCTCACGATGGAACCCTTCATGGTGAATCGCGGCCACCCACATCGACATCGGCCATTTCAAATGTCTCGGCTACCATCAATTCTGAGCATCGTTCCTCCACTCCTTCTGGCTATCGCACTTCTGACCGTTCCAAAGACAACCCAGAAGCTCGAAACTCAGAGCCGAGCAATTTTTCAAAGGGCCAATCTCCCATCGACACTTTGGCAGACCCTCCATCAGACTTCAACCCGAAACCCGAAAAGTCACCTCTACCAAGGGTGGGATCTTTGCGCCCCGTTGGAGGTACAGAAAAGCTGGACACTTTCTCTGGTGTCTTTGTACCAACAAGCTTGAACGTCTTGAGCATTCTTATGTTCATTCGCTTCGGTTTCATTCTGGGTCAAAGTGGCGTCGTTGGCATGCTCGCTATGTTGTCTGCGGCATACCTGATCAATCTTGTCACCACCCTGTCTATCTCTGCCGTCGCTTCAAACGGTACCGTGCGCGGCGGAGGTGCGTATTATTTGATATCCAGATCCTTGGGCCCCGAGTTCGGCGGTGCGATTGGCATTGTCTCATATCTAGGCTTTGTCTTCAATACGGGCATGAATGCCGTCGGCCTGATAGACTGTTTGAACTACAACTTCGGGTCAGAGTCTGGCAACTGGACCAACACTTTGCCTGAGGGTCCGTGGTGGCAATACCTGTGGAGCACGATAGTCGTCGTCGCTTGTGTCGGAATATGCCTTGCTGGCAGTGCCATCTTTGCTCGTGCCAGCAACGCTCTCCTCCTTGTTCTTCTCGTTGCAACTTTTAGCATCCCCTTGTCCGCCATCCTGCGTCGGCCATTTGAGACCACCAAGCAATTCACTCATTTCACCGGTCTCAGCGTACAAACCCTGCGCTCCAACTTGCTTCCACGATTTACCAAAGGCGCTGCGGGAAGCCAGTTGCCAGGCAGAGAAAATTATCAAGATCTCTTCGGTATTCTTTTCCCTGCCACTGGCGGTATTCTTGCTGGTGCAAGCATGTCAGGAGACCTCAAGAACCCCAGCACTTCAATCCCTCGCGGTACTCTAGGGGGTCTTGGCCTGACATTTGTCTCTTATGCCCTTGTTATTCTCGCCATGGGTGCAAGCATTACTCGAGAGTCTTTCTACAAAAACGTGAATGTGGTGCAAGACACCAACCTCTCTGGAGGTTTGATACTTGCAGGTGAAATCTCCACAACCTTCTTTTCGGTACTGATGGGCATCATCGGCCCAGCCAAACAACTCCAGGCTATCGCAAGGGATCGCGTCATGCCAGGTCTCGCCGTCTTTGGCCAGGGCACCAAAACGACGGATGATCCGGTCTACGCAATATTCTTCACTTTTGCTGTTGCCCAGCTCACGCTACTTCTTGACATCAATCGTATCGCATCCCTCATCACAATGACCTACCTAATGACATTTTTCGCTCTGAATGTAGCGACCTTCCTTCTCAAGATCGGATCGGCTCCCAATTTCCGTCCTTCATTTCATTACTTCAACTGGTGGACAGCCGCCGCAGGCGCGTTGTTGAGCGCTGGCAGCATGTTCTTCGTCGACGGCCTGTCGGCGTCGGGTTCGGTGTGCATTTTACTCGTTTTGATCATTGTCATTCATTATACGACGCAACCAAAACCCTGGGGCTCAATATCGGAGGTCCTGATCTATCACCAAGTTAGGAAATATCTCTTACGCCTCAAATCTGAGCACGTCAAGTTTTGGCGACCACAGATACTACTTTTCGTCAATGACCCAAGGCGGGGATACAAACTTATTCAATTTTGCAACTCCCTGAAGAAAGGTTCGCTCTTCATCATCGGCCATGTTATTGTAACTCAAAATTTTGGAGCTTCGGTTCCTGAGGCTCGACGCCAGCAAGCGGCGTGGAATAAGTACATCGACTTCTCTAAAATCAAAGCGTTTGTTAACGTCGCCATTTCACCTTCCATTGAATGGGGGGCACGAAACATCTTTTTGTCTGCAGGCCTTGGGAGTATGCGTCCAAACATTGCGATTTTTGGATTTTACAACATCCAGCAATTCCGATCGGAGCAACCTATGGTCGACGTACCAAGTCCACCACCCGAACGTAAACATGCTTCTATCAAGCGTCGACGTGCGAGCAGAAGTCAAGTGAGGGGCGAGCTGCCCACTGATCAATGTTTTGTGGAGAAACGTACAGACGTGCAGAGCTATGTGATGGTTCTGGAAGACATGATGTTGAAACTGCAGACCAATGTGGCCATTGCTGTGGGGTTCAGTGACTTGGAATTGCCCAATCCTAAGCAGGGAAACACGAAGAAATATATCGACCTGTGGCCGATACAAATGACCGCGGAGATGGAATCGGAAGGTGGAGGAACATCCAAAAATGTCCAAACAACAAACTTCGATACGTATACGCTGATTCTACAACTTGGATGTATTCTCAACACAGTTTCGTCATGGAAAAAATCATATAATTTGCGAGTTGCAGTCTTTGTTGAATACGAGTCAGACGTGGAAGAAGAACGATCTCGAGTGACCTCGCTGCTACAAAATCTTCGGATCGAGGCCGAAGTTTTTGTTTTCTGGTTGGCTTGTGGCGATTTGAAGTCCTACAATCTCATCGTCAACGGGCACGATGTCGACGAGGATTCACTGGACCAGTGCAACAAGGTTCTTGAGGATGAATTATGGTGGCGGGAACTCCAAGCAGTCCGAGGCAAGATCAATCGATCTGGTGACATCAGTGCTGCTGAAGCAGTGTCTATCGCAGAAGATTTCACCTGGCCAAGCTCACTGCCGAACAGAAGGGAAAATTCTATCATTCACTACGAAGGCCTGCGAAAAATTCTGACCCGTCCAAACAAGCGACCCTCGTTCGCAAATCTGTCCAGCTTAGGCGTCAGCCTCACGATGAGAACTTCACGACTGGACGATGATATGTTGAGTCGACATGCTTCACATCCCAGCGATTCCGAAGGCTTTGATTCTGAATCGGATGAAGAGCTCGAAGTTGAGCAATCCGAGGTCAGTTCCTCGGACGAAGACGGGGATTATGAGGGCTCAGCACTTCTTCGGTCGAAAACACCGTCAAAATCGAAATCGTCCTCGAAAAAGAGCAGCCGGGCCAGCTCCAAAAAGTCGCTGCAGAAGCACAAGCAATACGTAGCTTCCATGGCCAACAACAGAAGAGCTTTCTCGAGCTCTCCGGACGCTCTCATTCAATTTGACGATGATGTCCGATATGACTCGCCACAGAATACAGGTAGAGGACGAAAGTACGGCTTGACGGAAGGCAATTCTCCATCTCGCGCAACGGTGTCACCTGGTCATAGTCTGAATGTAGCCGGATCCACCAGATCTCGTGCCACATCACCCAGTTTCACATCTTCACCAGTGCCACGTGCTGAAATTGCAGAGGAAGAAGGCGCTGGTCCATCCATCATGTTCGCCGACGACCCTCATCCACGACGTCAAAAAGCGGAGGAGATATCTGCTGATCTCGGTCGCTCCATCTATCAGCGCAAAGTGGACGAGAGCAACGGCATTCCACCTAGCAACCCCAAAGCATCTGGATTTCCTTCGGCTGCATCGATCCAACTATCCTTCAATGATCTCCCATCACGAGCTCAACACTTGATATTGAACGAGTTGATCTCACAGAACAGTGATGATACAGCAGTCATCTTCACAACCTTACCGGCTCCAGGCGAGGGGACGTACCGCAGCGAGACGGATAGTTTGGGATACGTGAGCGACTTGGAGGTCTTGGTTGGGGGACTCCCACCTACATTGTTGGTGCACAGCAATAGCATGACAGTTACGACGAATTTGTAGACAGTTCCGGAATTTTGAGGAATTTTGTAGATATGACACACATCCCTGACACGGAGCCGGAGAAGGAAGACGAGAAGATCCTCGCCATGGGTATTGTACATATGCCGCTCTGCCTGTGAGATAGATGATCCTGCCTTGGATTGAGTTCCAAATATGTATCTCGATTGTCCGCGCCTGATCGCTGGCCTGCCCAATAGGCCCTGGCATCATTCAAGTTGGGGTTCCCTGCTTCTCGGCATGAGTGGGTGTCCTTGCACTGATGCTGCCCCACGTTGCAAGCCATGCAAGCGCTCTTGATGCGATTGCATGGAAGGCTGCGGGATGACCCAAAATCGGTCCAGGAAATGGCCGCAAGGATAGCTGTAGTAGGTACAGTTCCTCGCCCATATACGACGCTTCTGGCTCTTAGATCATCAAGATAAAGATCATGAATATCTCTCAGCCCGGTTGAGTTTCACTGCACTCTTGATCTGACTCCTGGTATTTTGTCCTCTGACAGGTAAATTCATAGCATGCCGCCTGCCACGATACGTGCCCGTATCTCTCAAGCGCGTGATGTCTTGTTGTATGGATCGGCGCAGTAGATTTTCGATTTTGAGGCCGTCGAGTTGTGAGGAGAGTTCAATGGTTTGCGGTTGTGTGAGTTCGCCAACTTTGATCGTTTCGTGCAGATGCATCTTCGCCATTACGCGACGGCGCGTATGAGGACCGACTCCGAAGAATGATTCTAGTGATCGCTATGTCGAGGCGATGGAATAGTTAGGTCAGATGGCTTAGATGTAGAGATGGTATGGCAGGGGTGGAAGGGTTTGTCTTTACCCAGAGAAATCGATGTTCCGGAAAATTGACGCCGAAGATGAAGACCTGCAAAATCGTTAGTTTCATGGTTTGGGTAGGTATGTGGTAGTTCGGGAGCAGACGCACCATCTTGTCTCCCCCCGGGTAGCTGTGGCCTGAAAAGTAAGGCGGATCTATTGAGTCGAGTTCATCGTATGTGAACTCAAGAAGTGGAAGAGGACGCTTAGCAGGAGGTTGAGTCGAGATCATAGGTCAGAGCTTGGCAGATAGCAACGGAAGAACGGATAAACAACGGCCCGGCGAGTACTATAGTGACGTGTGGCGAAAATAGAGGTGTGGAACTCCCCCCTACCTAGGCATGGACCTACCCTTATCTGCTGCAGGACTCGCCTCGATCCCCACGTAGATTATTGCCCACAGCGCCTAGAGCTCGGGCGCGTTAGCCGGGTTGATAAGGGTTCCGAGCCCGAGTTTCATGCCAACCACTGCTCTTTGACCTTTCCCAACCTTGGTAGGACGAAGCCATGTCAAGTCGGCAATCAAGCTCAACAGTACTCTCGTAAGTTATGGCAGGAGATTCGACTTCTTCCCGCAACCGTGTAAGCCCTGCAAGACGCGGTGCGAAGCGTGGGTCCAAGGTTTTCAGCGGCTGCTGGACGTGCAGGGACCGGCGAGTCAAATGTGATGAACTTCGACCGAGTTGCAGGAGATGCGACGGTGCAGGTTTCCAGTGCCAGGGCTACGACATCAGACTGGTATGGAAAGGCCCTTTGGGAACTAAGGGACAACCAAGGTCCCCTTCCCTAATACGACCCCCCTCCCTCTCACCGTCACGCTCTTTCTCTCCAGCATCTGTCATACTTCAAGACGAGAAACCCCGGTATGCTCAAAGGTCCAATCTTGTGATATCCCAACCAGCATCCAAACCCTCAGCCTTGTCAAGAGCTGAGGTTTCTTCTATTCAAACTCATCTCAAGGATTCAAGAATCCGCACGCCCAAGTCCTCTTCTTCCACCGGTGGACTATTCTCCGTTTTCCGCACTACCAGTTTCCCGGCTTCCGCTGATGCAGTGGACGATACAACACCCTCCAAGGTTCTTGTATCGGAAGAGCTATCATCTACCCTGGACGAAGCTTTTCTACATAACTTTCAACGCCCTATCTATCAACAAGATGAACAATCCGATCAAGTGACCGCGATCGGTGCCGGAATGACCGGTTGCCTATCAACCTTCGACCACCCTCTTAACCGACAACTGTTTGGAACATCATTGCATCAGCATGATTCGACGATCTTTCAATCGATCCTTGGCGACGATTACATGGCCGACGACGCTTTAATAGGCATGTCTCCCGCCTTCCATGATTATAGCCCACCTTCCAGCTTGAACGGGTCGGAGATAGAATTTCTCGATAGATTTCGGGGAGTTTCTCATGATTTGACCAACAAGGAAGCTGAACATGATACCAGTACGGTCTCAGCAAGTCCTTTGCGCGTAAAAAGGCATGTTGAGTCACCATCATCAACTACTTCTCTGGCAGAGGTCCCCCAGCGATACCTGCCTAGTCACCTGGATCTCTCAAATGCCCCAGCAGAGCAATCGGAGCTTATCATGCATTTCATCACGACCCTAACTCGGGACATGACCCCTGTCTACCAAATTGACAAGCCCCAGCACTCTGCACTGCTACCTGTTGCACTGGCTGGCCTCAGTTCCAAGGCTGGCGAATTTGATGGGGAAATAGCCGTTTGCCACGGTATATGCTCAGCAGCTGCTTTCAACCTATCAAGATTGAAGCAAAAAGGTCATGGGGATCGACTGCATCAACTCGGTATTGAACATCGACAGCTCGCACTTAGCCATCTGCGGCGGAGTATGGCTAGGAAGGAACAATCACGATGCACATCTATCTGGGCTGCAATCTTGACTTTGCTTATTTATGCAGGTGTACAGGGTCAAGCAGAAGAGTGGCGGACTCACGTGAAAGCGTTGCGCTCCCTAGTGGTTGCCAACTTGGACATATGTCGACATGACATGGTAGCACAAGTAGTGCTTGAATCTTGTCTATGCATATCTATCCTGGGGAATCTAGACGACGATCCGATAATTCAGACGATGCTTGACGCCGTTCCTTCGACGCCGAGCTATATGGAGACCGCACATGGAGTCAGTAAGTCTCTACTCGAACTCATTCGCAGGATCAACGTGCTCGCCCCAACAATCAAGCCAGGCGTTCCTCGCACGAAAGAAGCCGACCAATTACACCTGGAGCTTCTCCTTCATGCTCCTAGCAGCCTATCAATACTAGACTCGCAGATACCTTCCTCTGCCAGGCTTCTCCTACATTACTCGAATGTATATTATTTTTCTGCCCTGATTTATTTCGAACGTCGGATTCGCCGCAGAAGTCCCATGGAGCTTCAAGGTTTCGTGGAAAGGGTCTTGGACCATCTGGAGGCTGTCGAACTTGAAGCCAACGCAACCACGGGATGCATCTGGACATGGCCATGCTTGGTCACGGCAGCCGAATGTACTGAAACAACACTTCAACTCCGTTTGCTCAGGTGGTTCCAAAGCAAACGACGGCATGGATTCGCCAATCTGGACCTTGCGTGTGACATCGCAAAAGAGGTCTGGAGGCGTAGGGAGCTATGCCCTGATAATCCGGGTGAAGTCTTATGGCAAGATGTGACTACTGGGGCGGACTATGACATTCTCCCACTATGAAATTCTCCCACTATAAGTTTACGAGACGAAGCTTTTGCTTCTTCGGGTCTGAAGTGTGTCTGAACCGTGCATACTAATGTTTGAAACCCGAGCCGTCTTTCCAAGTTCCATGGCTGGTCCAGCGTGACAGCCAATCACAAAAGAACGCCGTATTGGCGTGTTACGGGGCTCAATCGGAAGATCTCTCGTTCTGTGTATCCTAAACGGGACAGCTCGAAAATGAGACTAGGCACTAGTTAGCCGCTCCACCCTTCTCCTCAAACCTTCAACGAAATGTCGGTATGCGGGAGAAAGCGTCTGATTTGTTTTGATTGATCTCCAGGCTATTTGGACGGCCTCCAAGGGTTTCCCCAACTCACTAGTCCTCCTGCTTCGTATCTCATAGGAGCTAGCTGCCGCGTGTTTCTTCACGATTAGGTGTTCGGTCTTTTGAAAGCAACCTACGAGTAGCCTCCAAAACTCAAATAAGTCCACAATCCGTATCATGTCTGGTGGCTGGCAATCTTGGGCATTTTGAATCGGGACACAAAGCTAGCACAGAGTTCATTTCCCTATTGATAATGGAACCAAATCAATCCATAGTGCCCACAGGACAGGTTTTGGAGTGCTTTTCGGGGTCAGTGAACACCACCAAAGCCATGCGATGTTCTTCGGCCCAATCTGGATGGAGGCAACGAGGCCCATCCCTCCGACTCTACCCTCTTCATTTTCTCGGTTGTATTGTTATCCAGGTGTTCAGCACAGATCAGGATTCCACAGCCCTCCTAAGGATGAGGATTGTATAAAGCTTGATATACCCAGGATCATACTTCAAGGCATTGACATTTCATACCAGACCAAACATTGTTTATGCCGAGAACATCCACGACCCGTCCTATCAGCCATCCAACTTGAAGCCTGAGTATCGCCCATAATGAGTGAAGATTATCACTATTTGGACAAAGCAGGCATGCCGCCCTCAGTCAAAACCGTTCTTGAGCCTGCTCCCGCCGAAGGCATTTCAGTCACAGTTGAAGCTCGAGAACTCCGTCCTCGATTTTCGGTTTTGTCTGCCATTGGAATACAGTTCAGCATCTCCGCCACCCCCCTTGCCGTTGGGTCGTATATTGTCTTCACCCTGGGGGCTGGTGGTAGCCCTTTCTTCTTCTACGCCTTCCTCGTGGCAGCTCTTGGTCAACTGATTATATGCACCTGTATGGCAGAGATTGCGTCGGTCTTCCCTCACGCATCTGGTAAGCACAGATTCTCGTGGCGGCTTAGTCATATCAGTTTGGTGTGTCTATACTCACAATACAAACAGGCCAAGTGTTCTGGACAGCGGCTTTGGCTCCACCCAAATGGTCTCGATTCCTTAGCTACTGGAATGGTGCAGCTACAACTCTAGGTTGGATTTTTGCCAATGCTGGAACCTACGTTTTTACCGCTCAGATCTGGACGGCGACCATGAAGATTCGAAATCCGAGTTGGGAAGTTCAGACCTGGCAAGTATTTCTCATAGCATGTGGCTGTGCCGTGATCGGAGTCATCCTCAACATCTGGTTGTTCGACTACTACCCGCATGTTACGAGATTTATGGTTGTTTTCATCAATCTAGCGACCGTTTACGTCCTTGTGACACTTCTAGTCCGCGCTACACCAAAGGCCTCTGCACGTACAGTTTTCATCGACGTAATCAACGAAACTGGTTGGGGGTCTAACGGACTAGTTTTTCTCCTTTGTTTCCTCCCTGGGTGTGTGGCAATCTCTTGCTTCGACACAGCGGCACATATGAGTGAAGAGATGGACGAGCCGGAACGTCAAATTCCCTTGGTGATGGTCGGAGGGTCTCTCCTGTGTGCTTTGACGGGCATTCCAATGATACTGGTCTATCTCTTCTGCACCGTTGCACCTATGCACTTGTTGGAGCCTGCGGGTGGCCAACCTGTCTTTCAGCTATTCATGGACGGGTTCAGATCTGACGCGCTGTTGACGGTCGCCATGGTTATCTACTGCATTGTTTATCTTTCGTCATGCCCAGCCACGATTGCAACCACAAGTCGACTTATATGGTCTCTCGCGAGCCATGGGGCCCTGCCATTTGGCAACTTCATCGGCTACGTTGAGCCTAAACGCCAGATTCCAGCTAATGCCGTCTACATTACAGCTGTGATCTCAAGCCTCGTCGGACTACTGATTTTTGGTCCGACCACAGTTCTGAATGGCGTCTTTGGCGCCGGTGCTGTCTGCTTCTTCTTCTCCTATGGACTCCCGATATGGCTCAATGTGGCGACCTTAGGCAAGCAGCTCCCCTCTACTCGTTACTTCAATCTGAAAGGACTCAGCCTTCCGCTCAGCATCATGGCAATCTGCTGGCAACTGATAACGGTTGTGTTTTTATCCTTCCCTATTTACAAGCCTGTCACTACCACCAGCATGAACTGGGCATCGCTCTGTGCTGTTATTGGTCTTGGTCTTGGCTTGATCAACTGGTTCGCATACGCCAAAAAGCACTATCATGGTCCAAAGGCATTATTCGTTGCTGGAATTCACGGCCGCCAGAGTGTTTCATTGGAAGATTAAGGGAGAACATATCCTAGATCGAAGTGGAAGACTGTGGATCATAAGACACTAAGGGTAGCGCTCACTGATACCATCTTGTGTAGCATAGCAACTGCAATTGTTGAAGCACTCAGTTTCCAGGTACTATATTGGAATCAGCACTCTACGATAATTTCAAACCTGCGCTATCGTCATTTATCTTTCCACGCAAACAACCAGAATGTAGAAGCTAATCCCTTCTCAGCGGCTTAGGCAGGTAGGATTGTTTTCCCTTCAAGAGATTCAATTTCTTATGGCGCCCTGCAGGGCCTTCCACGCAATAGTATTCTGACTGATGGATACTCCACCATTCAGAAAACCCTGAATGGAGTACCGCGGTGTCACGTCAAAGAGACGGTCCCTGTGCCTTGTCTTTATCTTTCTGCGTATCAATGTACCATCCCAGAGCATTCCCTGCTGAGGAGACTCTCTCAAGACTAATGGACATGACTTCCACCACATTCCCCCATGGATCTTGTGTGTAAACCCCGCTTTGACCTGCCAGCCCATAGCGAGAGTAGTCCATCGCACCGCCGACCTTCTTGCCCCCATTCTCAACAATTTTTTTGACCAAAGGTCCTGGATTTGGATCCGTGACGCAGATATGGAAGATGCCGACACGGCTGAATTCAAACTCTTCGTCGCGCGGCCGTGGAGCTGGGTCGATGAATTGGAACACCTCGATACATACGCTATTGCCAGTGGCCAAAATGGCGAACTTCAATTCCCGCATAGTCTCTGGATATGAGATGAAAGTGTATTGAAAGCGTCATCGTCGTCACGTCGATTGTAATGCCGAATCTTGCCCATCAAGCTGAAGCCGAGAACATTTGTATACCATGACACCAATGCTTCTATGTCAGTGCAAGAGATGCCGATGTGGTTGATTGGGGGGTTGTGAAGAGCCGGAAAACTGCGTAAGCCGAGACACTCATGAATATTAAGATTCGCTGACAACTTACTGGATTCGACATTGTTACAAGGTGTGAAATTGCAAGTTGAACCTAATCGCTATTGCAGCACAACTTTCGTTGTCTGTATCAGCTTCGCGATGATACTAAGAAGATATATTCCATGGATAAGCAATGCCTTCAACAACCTTCGAGATACGATACTTGGCAACTTGCCTCGGTAGATGCTGGTACGTTTCTCCCTCAATTCGTAAGTGAAGCCACTCATCATTTATTGGCCGAAATTAAGATATCTGTGGACTTTATGCGCCTAGACACTCTCAATGCTATGTCTAGATAGCCTCTTGGACTCACTATCGTTTTAAGGAACAAGTTGTTCTCCACCAGCCTTGGAATACTACGATCCTCCAGAGACAAAGTTCCACCTCAAATGAATTGAGTACCGGCATCCAGTGATAGTCAGATTTTGCGACTTACTAGAAAGAAACACGATGTACGAGAAGATCTGATACGCATTTGAGATCAGGAGGTGGTTCCCAATTAGGAAATTACGAACGACCCTTGCTAAGGCGGAAGTCACTGCGGGGAAATTTAATGGATAATGAATTTGAACCTCAGCTGGTGAGACAAACATTTTCACTAACGCGGGATTATTGTATCGATAACACATTACCTGAAAACTCAATGACCGAATAATACCTGGTAAGCCACGCATATCTTACTCAAGCATTCCAGTAATGCCAGTCAACAATGAGTGTGGAACCTCAGTTTGGTCAAGAGACAATCTGGAATATTCTTGGTAAGGATTGGAAACGTGACGCAATATGTGCCACGCCTTTTCAATCTTATGTTTCACAGCGAGCTTTCAAGCCTAGGCATCAGAGATTCTATCAACTGCTTGCTTGCGTTTTCTGCCCTTACGAAGAGGGAAATAGCATCCTGCAGGCGCCCCAAACCTACAGGGTCCTTCCCCATAGCTGCTATCAAATTTGCCCCTCCATTTGCCAGGTAATCAATTTCGATGCTGGCACGGACAAAAGGCGCCTCCTGCAAAGAGTCGCTGCTCAATAAAGCTTGTAGCCTGACTGGTGTAGTACGGATACTCCGGTCAGGCACTTCAGCTTTAGGAACCGGTTCGCCGAAGTCCAGGCTCTTGTCGTATGGCGTGGCTGCCAGTTCGTCAATGACAGCGGTTGACATGGTCGCTGAATGGCAACCTAGTTCTGCAGACGCAATGGCCTCTTTAATACTTCGGTAACTGGGCCATATGCATAGGTCAGAGTCTAGTATCTGTGGTTTTTCAGCACTCTGGGTTACTCACGCAGCATTCTTGATCAATGGCTGTGTGCGACCAGTCTTCAGGTTGAGGTCTCTGAAAGCCTCTAACATCTGGATGATGCGGTTGGAGAACGGATGTTGTAAGGCAGGATCAACTACATCAGGCCAGAGGGATGGGTCCTCGTGTGTACGTACTTCTGGAGGGCAGACACATATCAAGTTAGTAGTCTGCTGAAGTTGGAAAGATTGAAGATGGCCATGCCCCAGAAATTTGAACGCTGGATACATACCGTTGTAGTAAGGACTAATGTACAGACAACCAGCTTGAGAGCAAGCAATCGCCTGTTCAACACTGAATACACCTGTACCAAGGGTTGCGATACCTTCGTGTTGCAGAATTCGAGCCGCGTTGAGACCTGGTCCTGTAGCAAGTATCTTGATGCAGAACCTATCACGAGAGATGTTGAGACGTTGGAACTCTCTGGCGTACAGTCTTGCATGAGCAACAGTTGCTTCCGTGCTGTAAGTACTCGATGGCGATGTTTGAACCAGTACGCGCCCCTTGATGAGGTCCAAATTCTTTTCACACATGACGACGGCCTGTGAATAGAAGTGGACAATCAGTACCGCTGTGGCGTTTGCGGGCATCTAGTAGTAAGGAAATGGATACAACCATTCTCGAGTAGATAGCCAACCAACCTTCTCTTGCTAGATCTTTTGTGGTTTCCCTCAATTCATTGGCATTCGATTCATGAGCCAGCTGAATACCCAGCCAAATTTGATTACTAGTCTGATCATGAGGTTTGATTGGCATGGACTTAATATACTCGGGATCCATCCAGTCGACATCGATGTTGACTACAAGTGTTGTTAGAACACAGAATTCTTGACGAACGGGAGAAGAGGGCCGACATACGTCTTCCATCTAGCTGTTCCAGCCATGATTTATGGTTTTTATGCATAGTAGCAGGTGACATATTGTTCCAGTAGCCTTGCAGCGTTCAAGGTTGAGAGTAATGACCGCAGTGGAACGAGAGGTAGAGTACTGAAGACATGAAGGGCTCAGAGCATATGATTTATACTAAACTAGTCCAGTGCTCATTGACACATAAGTCTCCGAAAACGAGCTTAGCACGTAGGTGGCTACATACCCCCAAGCGCTCGTTTTATTATGGCTGCTCAAAATTCTTCTCCTATCCGGGAGATATCTAGAAATTGGATTCAGCGTTTCACCTAAGATATACACAAATCTGATTCTTGTGATACGCTTTGAGCCTTGCCCGCATACTACAGTATAACTGTGCAATCGAGTTAAGAGAATGTTTTCTTGGCTGTGCTTATTTCTTCACTAGCAAAGCGATTTTAAGTAGCTGTTGTTCATTACTGCTCGTGGGATAGCTCGGCCTGTAAATATTGATGGAGAGTCGGCTTAAACTTCATATTGGATCACAATGATGGCTTGTCAACAACCAAGTGCGCCTCTACCTGAAGCTCAATCATCATTCCTGGAGGTCCACACAAAGCACTGGTCCCGATAGCCATCCAGGTTGGTCGATGCTCAGGCCATTTCTTCCTCCAGATCTCCATCATCAGGGGCTCGAGCGATACATCAAGTAGAAAGCAGTGAATTTTGTGCGCTTTAAGCAAGCCTTCTTTTACTCCGCCGGCCTTAAGAGCGTTATCGCAGTTGATGAATGTAGCTTCGATTTGTTCAGCTGGGGAGGAGGAAAATTTACCCTCTGCGTCGAGGCCAGGCTGTCCGGCGGTGATAACCAGCTGAGCATTTGGTGGCAAGACCACGGCGTGGGAGAACCCAGTGGCTTGATAATAGTCGCCCAAGGGTCCGGGTACTTGGTAGTAACGAGCCGTCATAGTTGCGTTCAATCGAAAGGAGACAGAACTACTAAATCTCTCAGGGGAGGGCAATAGAAAGAGGATGGATCAAAACGATTATGAGAGTGATGAGGATTAAAGGAAATACTTGACTCGATCATACAACTACCTCAATATAAGCATCTTCATATGGAGAGCCAGGCATTCGAAGAGAGATTAATACGATATACGGGCATTCTTCCTTGAACTGAATTCTCCGATAGTGAGGACAAGAGTACACAATGGAGTGAAGAACATGACTGAATTCAAGGACGGAACAAAATTCGCAACCTATCGTGTGACGAATAACAGCTCCAGATGCCCAGCCTGCCTCAACACTGAGTGGCAAAGCTTATCGAAGATTGATCATCGTTGCGGCCTGCCTAAAAGGGCTTCCAATGAAGAACTACTTCCTACCCTGGATCCCCAATTTCGTGTGCTGACACCCCACCAACGATAACGGGCCGACCTCCAGGCCAAAAAAATTGTAGTCAGTCCAGTGGAGTGCGCAAACAGAGCATCTTTGAGTGCTACTTTCTCGCTCTATGAAGGCCGCTCGTCCCGAAACCGAACTTGGTCCACTGCCAGATACGATATACGAAGCGTTTTTCATTATCACGTTGTAAACATCTCATCTCTCAGTCCACAAAAAGGAAATCGATAGTACGTATGGTGCGCTGTTGTTTAATTTTCTCCTATACATGAATATCTCGGAGATTTTATAGGCCAAATTACCTTCAGATATAAAAATCTACAAAACCTATGACGCTCGTTTCATTTTCCGGACCACACCTTCAGAGATAGACTTTTGTTGCCATCCAGGAGCTTCTCTTCATCAATAGCTTGAGAATCATACAACGCCCATTCAATCTTTGGGGTTACTAAGACATCAAAGGTGGGATAGGATCCGTGGTTGTCGAGATGAGTGCGCCATCAGACATCTTCGACGTTGTCGTGATAGGAGCTGGATTCTCAGGACTTGCGGCAGCAGACAAGCTTGTGAAAGCAGGCATGTCAGTTGCTGTCATTGAGGCCTCAGATAGAGTTGGTGGCAAAGTGTACGATCGGAAGCTTCCCAACGGCTGCATTGTTGAGACTGGCGCAGAGTTTGTCGGTCCTTATCAAGATCGGGTTCTAGAACTAGCGAAGGATCTTGGGGTTGAAACTTTCAAAACCTATTGCAAAGGCAAATCAATCTTCCACTCAAAATCAAAAACAATCGCCTACGACCCTGCAGGCGCTGGGCTTCCAGTTGACGATGAAGCTCTGATGCAACTTGGGACTGCAGGTCAAACTCTGGATCAAATGGCTCAAGAACTCGACGCACACGTGCCCTGGGAACACTCAAACGCTCCGATCTGGGATATGGGCACTATGGCATCGTGGCTGGACATCAATGTTCCACACCAAGAAGCTCGAGAAATCATGAATCTCAGTCTCAAGAGCTTGCTTTCGAGTGAACCAGCTGATGTGTCTCTTCTTCAAGTACTAGTCTATATCCGCCGTGCTGGCAATGAGACAACGGTCGGTACTTTCCGGCGGATCTCTGGGGTGGCTGGTGGTGCTCAAGAGCTTCGTTTTGTTGGTGGGCCCCAGCAAATTGCAGTCCGTCTAGCCACACGCCTGGGCGACCGCGTCAAACTCTCCTCTCCGGTTCGTTCAATCAAACGTCAAGATGGGATCTACCAAGTCAGTGGCGATCAGTTCTCCATTCAGGGTCGACATGTAATCCTTGCCTTGTCCCCACCACTGGCTGCACGGATCAACATTCAGCCACCTCTACCCTCGCGAAGAGATCAACTCTGCCAACATATGCCAATGGGCTCATTAGGGAAAGCTGTCGCGGTATACAAAACACCCTTCTGGCGCGACCATGGTCTTAGTGGTATGGCTCTTGGTCTGAATGGAACTGAAGTCCAGGTTACTTTCGACAGTTCTCCCGAAGATGGCTCATGCGGAATCTTGCTTGGGTTCTTAGAAGCCAATGAGATGCGACACTTCGATTCCAAAACTGAGGAAGAAATACAAGCTGCCGTCGTTGAGGATTTCGTCAAGTTTTTTGGCCCCAAGGCCAGAGAGGTAGAGAGTTGGGTCATTCAGCGATGGGATAATGAGGAGTTTGCCAGGGGAGGCCATTTTGCCGTCTGCCCACCGAATGTGATGACACAATATGGTGTAGCTATCACGGAGCCTGTAGGACAGATCTATTTTGCTGGCACAGAGGCATCCCCGTACTGGACCGGCTATATGGATGGTGCAATCCGTGCTGGGGAGATTGCCGCTGAGCGAATTTCTTCAGGGGTGGATGCCATTGGGATCAGAGCGCAACTTTGATTTGCGATAACCAAGGACATGGCAAGAATGTCCTGATTAATCCTGTCGAGATCATTGACCTTAACAGCTTCCATCGGGCTCCCGCTAGAACGGTCGCAGAGTTTCACTGGTCGAATGTAGTCCGCAATCTTTAGCGTATTTTCAATGTTGAACAAGAAATGGTCGTCCTGGTTGCACCCACAGTACTCATCGATGATTGGATCAATGTCTTGCTCGCATGCGGTTGTACCGCGATAGGTTTCCTGGGAGCGAACGATGTCTATCCTTTCATTTCGCGCTTAGAAGAGAAGAGGAGAGCGAGACGATGGACCCTTGATTGATGAAATCAAGTCAATTCCACAGTCTGCGTGATACACGTGAGATTCCAGAAAACGTGACAGCTGTCGTCATGGCGTTCCTTAGACCATCGTTTCATTATGTCGTAGGGGTCAAAGGTTAGGTCGATAGAAATAACGCACCATTGTTGAGTTGAGCACGCAATCAGCAACCTTGGAAGCGAATATGCAGACGCAATTACATGATAGGAATGCGATTGTAGCTTGAGGTTCCTTTCGGTAGCTTGGCCCAGGACAGATAGAATGTCAATGTTATCCGATATTATCTGCAGGTCATATGCTGCGTTTAAATTATGTAGATTGAGGGCTGCCAATAAAGAAAAGCGGCCTAAGGAGCATACAGTAAACTGATTCAGCTCAAAGGTAGAGGATGATAGTCCAAGGTGGAGTTCCAGACTCCAAAAGGAATTATGTTCGGCTAACGAACTTTTGTTCTTGAGGAGCTTTTCTTACCCACTGGTCGTTTTCAAACATCATTACTTCGAAAGTTTTGTAGTCATGGTAGCTTTCGTTTCCCACTATTATCGTGACGGATTAAGCAAATCTGCTGATCATCAGACAGACGACTATCATTATCTCCAAACATGGAATTTCAAGCTAAGACCGGCATTCATTTCAATAAATAATGGGAGCAGAAGGCGAGCTGCAGCGCTCAGGCCTCGGAACCAGCACCCACTATTAAAACCAGGCTAAGGTCGAGACATGAATCCCTAAAATCCCAGGAGGTCCAGAAGAGGCACTTCATTGACGATACCAGCCAGCAATGCTACTGACTAGTGTCATGATTTGTGTGCGTTCTTGGTCTGAATGATATACGGATTGCAGAAAGTCAAAATCATGAAATTCAAGTTCCATGGCTGTGTCTTCCGCAGATCGGCACATCCACCAGCCATTCACACAGATTCCGTATGGAAAACATAAAATCCTTGGTGGAAGTAGTAAGATCACAGTGAGGATAACCTTACAAATATCAATGGTGTATTCAGGCTCCTATCTTCTAGCATCAGACCATCGTTGACCCTGGCCTGACTGTTCTGCGATTCTTCCTTGACATTTCATACACCTCTGAAACCTACAGAGTACTGCCTTCGGAATATATGAAATCCGAATAGAGACAATGCATCTAGTAAGAGTTTTATAGTATGCCAAAACAGTATCAACCCCTCGGTGGTCAAGGCCCTTTGAAACTTAGGCGAGACACACGAAGCGCCGGGTAAGTGGAGTAAGCTAGATCTTATAGCTGGTGTTGGATAAGGTTTGCCGGCTCCAAAAGGCTACCCAGACAACAAGATAAAGCCTGTGGTCTCTAGATTACAAATAAATAGGCATTGGCGTGAGAAGAAACCTACTGGTAGTTTTGAGCTAGTGGTATATACGATGTCAAGAATTTTCCATTGGGTTCTAGATGTTCTATCTTTATATCACCATCATAAAGCGTTTCATGAAATCTGTCAAGCGTTTCATCGCCGTCAAAGAATTCTGTAACAGGTGCCTGGACATCAACTCCAACAGTTTCTGAAGAACTTCATACAGGTTTTGGATATATCGATGAATGATGTCGCAGCTGAGTGAATCTAAATTTGAGATGCAAAGACAATAAAGTCGAAATATTTAAGAGAGTTGCCATTCTTCCGCAAACGAGATTAGATAGCAAACAATTTTTCTCCCTCTACTTGGCCTGGTGTTAAGTAAACTAAACATTTTAATCTTCTTTTCTGCATTCTATCTTCCTAAAAGCTATTCAATCTGTCCTTATTGTTTCTCCTCGTCTTCGAATACCATCATTCTACTGCTAAAATGCATACCCTCAGAGCCTTAGTTGCGAGTGTCCTGGTTATGAGCCTTTCGTTCACAAACGCGGGTAAATAATCTACAACAACTACCGAGCAACTTATACTGATCCAGATCGTTATAGCTGTTCTCCCACGCCAAAAATTCGGTGGCAATATCCGGTGCAATATAGCACGCTTGGGAATCGTCAGTGCCCTCGGTGACACCATGGATAGTATATCACAAATTCAAGACCCGGCTACAAAGCAGGCAGCAACAGCAGGTGTCAACCAAGCGAACTCTGGTATACGTCAGATTGCTTCCGCAATTATTGCTGGCGAAGCTCCTCCCCAAGAGGGACGAGAGATCACTGAAGCCGGGTTGACTGCTGCAGGTCAGGCACTAGCAGCAGGGGACACGTATGTTTTCTCTCTCTCCCTTTCTCTCTTGCTTTTCCCACAATCCGTGGTGTGAGGTTATACTGACACGGGGAATACAGCTCTGATCAAGCTGTTGTTGAGGCGCAAGAGAGCCTCGATGATGCTGTGGCATCTGGACAGGATGTAGTCGCCAATTGTTAGACGGTGTTTGATCTCCAAGCGAGATTGGCAAATCCTCGTCGACTTGAATGATTTGCCTTAACGTTCCCTACTAGCCATCCTTCACAAGAAGAGACTGAGATGATTCCAATTTAGCGGAATACAAGATGAGGACTGGGGCTTATAACAGTCAAGAATATACTTTTGTGGATGATACCACTTCCCTGGCTAGCATTATCACGAGAGTCGACCGGTTTCGAAGGTTATTCGGTTGTGGTGTCGACAGTCTTCTTTTCTCGATACACATCACCTGTCAAGCCAATCTCGTACTGCTCATCTTTCCCTCTTCCTTCTGCCTCTTTCTTCCTCACTAGTGACAGTACCTGATCTCCAAACTGCTGTATCTCCTCATCATAATGCAAGAAAGCCACTAACAAGATGTCCACCCCTAAGCTCTTCAACAGTAAAATCCTCTCACTGATCTGCTCTGGCGTCCCTATCAATTTGGTCTTGAATCCATCATTATACTGCACCAGATCCTCAAATTTTGAATTTGCCCACATACCAGTCTTGTTTGACGTACTGGCACCGGCGTTCTGCACTTGATCTCGGAATCCTTCGACTGCTTCCTTGTTCGCTTTACCCTGAATCTCTTCTAATACTCTAATAGCCTCTTCTTCGGTCTCACGCGCAATGACGAAGCCGTTGAGTGCGAACTTGACATCTTTCAGACGGCGCTCGCGTTCGGCCCGCTCACGGACATCTTTAATTTGGGACTGGAATCCCTCGAGGGTATTACCATTCATGAAATAGTAGTCGGACACAGTAGCGGCATTTTCACGAGCGTCAATGGAGTTACCACCTTGAAAGATCTCGGGATGAGAACGCCCTTCTCGCACTACTGGCTTTGGATGGAGAGGATAGTCGTGAAACTACAGCAGATTAGATCTCCGCCTTGAACAAGTAGAGAGGAGAATCGACTTACTTGATAGAAATCACCCTTAAACGTGAACTTGTCCTCAGTCCATATGCCTTTCAGGCATTGAATAAATTCGCGGCTTCGTCTGGCAAGAGTTCAGTCAGCAGGAACGAAGTCGGCTCATCAAATTTAACTGACCGATATCTTTCCGCATGGTCCAGCCACCATTGTCCAATACTGAGGAACTCCGCCTTAAACCACCCGGAGACAATATTGACCGAGATACGTCTGTATCTGATAAGTGCCGCCAGTAGATAGGTGTGTCATGGCTACTCACCCGTTGGAATATTGATCAATACTTGCAATTTGCTTCGCCGCTATCGCCGGGTTCCATGGCCCCGGTAGCAAAGCAGCGATAACATTGAGTTTGGAGGTGAAGTGAAGAAGAGCTTGTGAGAACGAGACAGACTCATGCTGATGATCTGCCCCGTATCCTGCCATGAAGCGGATTTGTGATAGGGCATATTCAAACCCGACCTGCTCAGCAGTACGAGCATACGCTATATTCGCATCGAGACTCCAATCTGTTCGTTGTGGGATCCTGGAGATAACAAGTCCGCCTGACACATTAGGTACCCAGTATCTGTGTGTTGGATTAGCAAATTTTTAAAACTTCCACAATCCTCTATACGTACGCGAACTTCAAACGCTCGGGATCAGAATTTATCTTCTCATGGTAGACGAGATCACCCCCAGTTCCTCCATTGACCACCAAACTGTGATTGTTTGCCGGCGTCGCCATTGCTTAAGAAGCCCGAGATATCTAAAAACAGTTTCGAAGAGTTTCAACAACTCCTAGGATGGTATCTGAACGAGCAGCATACGTTGGAGGATTCAAAGTCTCAACAAGAGAATGATGCAATCGTGATCTGTAGCAATACGTCTCGCATTTAATTGGTACTTAGTATAATTTTTCAGATCAGCCCAAGCTCGCAACGTCTGTGGAAGTGCATAGTAGTATCATTGGATTCGTCAAGGCGCAAATTATCCACCGTATGTCGTGATATCTCTAGAATGCCTTCCTTTAGGCCGAGATACTCCAGATACCACTATAATTGTGAGAATCGTCGCTCTGCGTACGAAGTAATAAGGCGGAGAAAGCTTAAAAATTACATCATACTCTGATTCCCCCCCAGATGCGAATGGCGTATCTTAAGCACCCTTGATGTTCGTGGAAAGGTTTATTTGGAACTTAAGGCCTGTAACATGGAGAATTGTCCTTACTCACGAATATCAAGTTTCCACTGTAATATAATTGAGCAAGTTTTCTGTCCAGCAGGGTAAGAGTGTGAAGAGTCGCTTAGACTCTTACCGATACAGTATTGCCTTGTAATGGCACTACAAGTCATTTTCCTGTAATTGGACCATCTCGAAGTGAATCCAATGTTTTGTTGATACCGTTTAAACCTCCAACAGCTAGTTCTATTTGCGGAGTAACCAGGCGGTTAGCGCGGGCGCGAAAACCTCCAGGTTAATGTCGCATACCACTCGAAACAGATCTGAACCCATAAGAGATTCTTTCGAGTCCGCAAAACACACCGGAACAGATTCCCAATTGCCAATGCAGCTGTCACAAATGCAACGCCGCTAGCCGCACTTGCCTGATTATCGAATTGCCTGGTACTCTCAGAGTTATGCTCGGTGCTTATAACGTACTCCTGAAACGCTGCTTTGCGTATATCGCGATAGGTAGCCGAAGGACTCATGATAGCGTTTCCAGCTCTGATTCTTTGGAGAGACTTATATGCTTTGACTACCACGCCCGTAAGGTCTCCCATTAATCATATTTTTTGTCCGACATGAAATAGTTCGTTCAAGAAACAGTAACCGTCAATAACTATCGGCTACATGCCAATAATAAGGACTCAGGGCTGTGTTCGGAAGCCACTTTCTTCCCTAGTGGTGTTTACTCCAATAATTTTTTCTCGTCAGAACTCTGAATTGCGTGTAAGCTAGCTAGATGACGTGATAGTTAAGTTAAGTACGCCGCTCCTACGAAATTGGTAGGCCCAGGTGGAAGGGCTAGTGAAATGATGAATACTTCATAAATCCGGCTTGAGAAGGTAGCTTGTTGGTGACTCTGTGCCCATTTACAGTCTAAGTCTATGCAATATGTCACCACACGCGACAAAGGATTCTCTTCTGGAGACTGATCCAGCTATCTACGATGTCCATCATCAAACCTGGGCGGCAGTACCCCTGCCTCAAAACGAAGTAGAATGGGTAGAACGAGCTGCTCAGGTTGCTAGAGTTCTTGCCGAAGATGCTGCACTCCGAGATAGAGAACAGAAGATTCCAGTGGCAGAAATCTCATTGTTGAAATCTTCTGGCTTGCTAAAAGTGCTCGGTCCAGTAAAGTACGGCGGAGGAGCGCAGGGATGGGATGTTGCGTACAAAACCATTCGGGAAGTTGCTAAGGGTGACGGGTAAGGAGTTTCTATGTGTTCTGTGAATGATACTAAAAGTCATTGGAGATCAATTGGGATGCTGCTAGGCTACCATCTACTCTGGTCTTGGACTGCTAACGTGGTTGGCACCGATGAGCAACGGGACCGTGCACAAGAGAATATCATCAAGAACAACTACTTCATCGGAGGTGAGTTAGTTGCATTCAATGATCGTACTCGCTAAAAAGAGGAAAAGGTGCCGTGAACCCGCGAGACAGTGATCTGAAAATTAGTTCTAGTGGTGATAATATTGTTTTCACGGTTCGTGCCTTAGTGTCTTTGCTCAGCAATACCTAATAGGTGCAGGGATTCAAGAATTTCAATACCGGGGGGGTTGTGTCCGATCTCACAGTTCTTGAGGGTGTATACCAGGGGACCCAATCTCATATCTTTGCATTCGCACCTACCAAGCAGTCAGGAATCCAGTTTGCGGTCCGTCCTGCGAACAAGATTCGGAAATTGATTTACTGATATTCAGTAGCATAATTGGGACAATATCGGCCTACGACTCACTGAATCAGGCAGCGTCAAGATCGATCACGTTGAAGTCCCATGGACTGATGCCTTGGGGTGGAATCCGAAGGAGAAGAAGCCTTTGGAATCCGTATTAGGTATCCCATGGGCCTCACTCTTATTACCAACGTAAGTGATTTGAACTGATTGAATGCCCTAGTACTAATTACAGCAGTATTCAGCTAGTTTTCTCGAACTTTTACATTGGTATTGCTTTGGGTGCCCTCGACTTCGCTTTGAAATATAGCGCGAAGAATACTCGAGCTTGGCCGTATGGCGGAGACAATAAAGACCAAGCAAGTGACGAATTCTACATTCTCGAGCGCTACGGAAACTTCAAGGCACATCTTCGTGCTGCTGAAACCCTCGCAGATAAAGCTGGATTAGTCATTGCAGAGATATATGACACAAAATCCGAGAAGCGTGATATCTCTGCGAGAGAGCGTGGTGAAGCTGCTGAATGGGTTGCATCTGTCAAAATAGTGGCAACCGACACAGGATTGCGAGTGACCTCTGGCGTCTTCGAAGTTACTGGTGCTCGTGCAACAAGTACAAAGGTGGGCCTCGATAGGTTCTTCAGAGATATCAGGACACATACTCTACATGATCCTGTTAGTTATAAGAATAGGGAGCTTGGCAGATTTGCCCTGTTAGACGAGGTTCCAGAGCCGACCTGGTACACATAAGAGGTATAGGCACCATGGATATAGATGGTTTTACGAGTTTAAAGCGTGATTTAATGGCGTTTTTTAACTATAAACCCAACACCTTGCGGAGTTTCCCCATGGAGCCACCACATAGCCTGACTGCCAAGATCAACAGAGTCGACTTCAAGCAATTATGAGTGGCATTCTTAAGATTTGTCTAACACAATGACGAATGAAACTTGTGTCTAGTGATGCAATCACCCTGTCTGGCCACCGTACTATATATCCTATGAGCGGTCGTCATAATGACTCTTCTCAGTGTTATTGGTGTCAACATAAAGGCTGCTAGCTTTTTCCAACGAACCGTTGCACTAAATATATGTTAGATGGTGGAAGCATATTTGCTTTCCACAGCATTTTAGACCATAAGAATTTGCGCCCCTTGCGATGTCAGCTCCCCTATCGCTTACAACGATCATTCTACGAGCAAGGAACGCATCTGACTTTCCGACAGGATATGATGAGATTGTTGTTGACTATGCAGGTTGGCTTTACAATATACACTGTTTGGATCTCCGTCGCCGAGGGAAAGAGTTAGCTCGTGGCCATGATGTTACTGGATACATACACTGCAAGGAATAACAACCGCTAAAATTTGATAGCACTACTAAAGGAGGCGATTTCAAGACGACCAGGAAAGGCTATTGCTTCTGTCAGAATAACAGTTTAAAGTTAACTAGGAGTATCATAGAGAGTCATACAACATTATTGTATCCATTGTATGCCTTCTTAATCTTCGTCGACGTCTCAATCAACGGACGGCAGAAGTGCCATCGTCTGCGGGGAGATCGTCCTCGCCTTCTGGGTCCTGATATGTGCCCTCTGGCTTCGTGGCTCCTCGGGTACGACCACCCTTGAGAATATTACCTTTATCGATCGCATCGGCCTCGTCTTGCTCTAGACCTAATGTTAAAGAGGGTTTGACCACAATACTGATAAACTTACCTAGAGCCTGATCTGAGTCAGGGTTTCGTGTATCGTTCGGTTGCTCAACCGGGGTCTCGTCCTTTAGTACTGGGATTTGCTTCTGACCAGGACGGCTAGCATAGGAGTTGTCAACGGTATCACCGCCTTGGGGAATATCGTCTGTAGTGGTATTTTGCTTGCTGAACTCCGCGTCTGCGTTCGTTGCCATAATAATTGTCTACAGCGTCGGGGTATTTTTCGATTGGCAGCAGAGAAATCATGAATAACTGAGCACTAGGAGCTTTTATGAAAAGAATAACTAGGCAACTCTAGTCTACGATGAAATGATGTCAACACTCATGTCTTATGGTCTCCGGTAAATGTTAGGCCGGATCGAGTAATGATGACCTATCTCGAATGAATCTCTACTTGAAGGAACGTTATAAGCAGCTAAAGGGCCTTATCCGCCTAAAATGAGACCCACAGCTGCCAATCGGGTGAACCACTCGTAGCCTACGCGGCAGGTTCTTCCTACGTTATTGTGATACTTTAGGGCTTTATAGAAGAATTAAAATATATAAAATTCATTGGACGGATATCACTGAGAACTGAAGGGGATCTCGGTAGCCTTAGTGTCGTATACCAGCGGATCGTTATTCTGGCGGAACTGTTATCCTGGCGGAACTGTTATCCTGGCGGAACTGTTATCCTGGCGGAACTGTTATCCTGGCGGAACTGCCATCCTACGGGCACTGTTTGTAATGCTAAGGAGACCTTCATGAAGGTGTTTTCTGCAGTTGACAATGATATAACAATAGTGGTAACAGCGTGATTCTTAAAAAAATCTAATCGTCGGAGAAGGAAGGTCATTACGCTTCTGACCGTCCAACCATTTGAAAGTAACGATGACTTTTCGCGGCCTCCATCTTAACCTCCTACTGTTAAAGAGCGAATATACTCGGCCATAATAGTTTACCAAGACCTATTGCCGTAAGGAGCATTGGTTTACGAACTGCTGGTGGTGGAACCCCCTTTTCTGCCAGCCTCTCTAGCCTTCTCACTACCTGGTTCGAATGAACCACTAGAAGCCTGGCCTCCCTTGGAGGCAATATCGCGCTAAAGATTACTTAGCCAGCAGGTTCGGTGGTAGATTAAAAAGAGAACGCTGGTCAGACGTGAATAAGACTAGGGACACACCTGCTTGTCTGGATCCATAGAAGCAAAGCCACTATTATGGCTAGCTTTACCACCCTTGCTTGCAATTTCCTGCACCTCCTCCTTAGGGCGGTTGGCGAAGTTTCCTGGATTGTCGTTACTAGACATATTTATGGGTTCGAAAAGTGGTGTGGTATGGAAGAAGTCTGTGTAAAAGTAGTTTGTATCTTGTAGCTCCGATAATTCGGAAGGCAGTTTGTTAGGCTATATAAAGCTGGACACGCGGGATGATGTTTGACATAGATAGTAGTAGCGTGATGTCACTATGATTTCATATTGCTCGAGTGGCGTTCCGAACTCGAAGCTAAATCCAACAGCGCTCGGATATCATCCGGACGCGGGCGTCCAAGGTAGCACAGCATCACCGCCTTGAGGAATGTCATTATTTGCATTCTAATGATTGTCTCCACATCAGCTTCGTAAGATAAAAAATCCAAATGTATGTCATGGATAGAGACCTTCCCATAATCTATTCCAATTGTTGACTATCTGCTAGTGCTTCATCCCATCTATCAACATCCGGGAAAGATTGCTTCTCCAATGGTCGGTAGGTCATAACTAATATCTTGTCAGCATTTCCTCATTTCTCCCTAATGTGCAGTTGTTGACACCGGAACCCAGTGCACAACCAAGGTTAAAACAACCTGGAGCAAATGAGTGGCTGGGGAAATTCGATCCGACACCTTCCGGATAGGTATGCCACGAATGCTTGTGCCGGATTGCTGGCGAGGACATTTTCCTTTATATCCCCTTTCCCGCAGCGTTTGGATGACGACGTCAGTTCTGAGACCAGTGGCGTCTGTTGCAGGTTACATTGGACCGGAAAAACTAGACGGTTGGTGCTCTGATATGAGTTGAATAGTAGGTAAGTGTGGGCGGCGACCAGCGCCGAGATCGAGGAGAACGATGTTCAGGGTTATTACGTCGTTGACCCGGTACGTTTTGGAAGTATCGCTCTTGGAAGGAGTTTCTATGCGTAGACGCTAATGTACAGATAGGGACAACCCGGTAGATAAATCCTACACTAGCAACAATTTAGTCTATCTGCATTTCTACGCGAATCCGTCTGCTCAACTCCCGTAGTCGACCACAACTACGCAAGGAAGACCGTGCTTAAAATCTCAAAAGACCATTCGATGCAGACCACCAGGAAGGATATACAGTTGTAGGGTCGGAACTAGGAGTTAGCTTTAGCTTTGCGGGGGAAAAGTGTGTACTACTTGAACATGTCAGTCCCGGGAATGAATCTCGATCCATTTGGCTCGAGCTTCCATGTTGTCTTATCGTGACACAACCTCTAAAAAGCGTCATCTCTCATCACTACATTCTGCGTAATTGCAAGGGACACCTATCAAACCCTGTTTTCGTGCATAGTATGACAGCCATAGCACATCCTGGCGTATTGATATTGAGGTCGAGTCTCCTTCTCAAAGTGGATGCGGAGGCTCTCTATCGCTGAAAATTTCCCATTCTCCCAACCCTTGATGATGCTGACATAACTATCGTATAGCCGCCCAATCTATGGTACTCCTAGGACTCTATGCCACGTTCGGCCCATGCTCATGTGTGGGAGCAGGGTTCGACGAATTCCGTGTCAAGGACTCCGGACATCACTACAGGAAAGCGTATGCGTCTAGCTCGATTACTCTTCTTGTATACGATATATTTGAAAAGGACACCAAAGCAACATCTTTTAGACAAGCTAACACGGGAATAGATTATATCTTAAGGTGATAACTTGGACGCTATTTCTTGGAGCCCATTCGAGCCTCAACTCCAGAGCTTAGGTGGTTTTAATCATGCATTTGGAACAACGTTCGCACTTTGGACTTGCACTATTAGCTGCAAGTTACGGCTCTTTTGAAGCGTTTACCTTATAGAGACAAAGAGTTTGATCAGTCTTTTAAAGTCATCTGGAATCTCGCTCCCATAAGTGACACGGAGGTCGATCTTGTACTTCGCACTATACATTATATGGGTTAATCTACAGGTCGGACCTTCTGTTCGAGTTACGACATCTTGAAAATGCTTTTCCACCGGTGGATGAAGCTAAGCAACAGACATTATCACCTTCACATTCAGGCGAAAGAATGAAAATTCTGGATCTAGCCTTTTTCATATCATGCTTGTTGAAACAGGACAATTATACTGGAGAGGTCTAAACTTTTGAACAACTCTGTATAGCAGTGGACTTCATCAGCCTTACTTGACAAATAACATCGTGTTCTGCCCTTACCTTCCCGATCTCTTCGGAAAGTCTATTTTTCTACCGAGGGTCCTGCACAAGCTATGCATCGTGATTACACACGAGCGCACAAGCGTGGTCGGTGTTGCTTTTGGGCGTCCACGAAAATAACTCTGTTTAGCTAGCCAAGACCTACGTATTCCTATTGTGTAGAGATTGAACAGCTCAATCACTTACACTTAATACCATACTTCAACCTTAGATAGAAAGTTCGGCCATTAATGATCCGGATTTGCTGTCGCTGATTACATAGAGAATAGGACCCAGATGGACGGTTAACTCAAGGAAAGTACATGACCTGTATGTGGACTAGTCGATTTTCTAGCCGACTACAAAAGGAGCTCAGCGGACTTCAGCAGAGTCGGGGATTGAATTTGATCTCCTGCTCATGATCTAGATCCTAAATGATTGTGTCGCTGAAAATGGACAAAACAACATTTGACTACATCATTGTTGGCTGTGGCTTGGCAGGCTGTACGCTTGCTTCAAGGCTACGCCAGTCCAACCCAGTGTTGAAAGTGCTGCTCATCGATGCTGGAGCTGATGTTTCAAAGCACGCGCTTACATCTGCTCCCCTGGCCTGTTTTGCTAGCCACGGATCGGACTTGGATTATAACTACCAGACGACCCCTCGAGAGCATCTTGATGCCCGTTCGCCCTGCCAGGCAGCTGGCAAAGCGTTGTGTGGTGGAACAGCCATTAATTATGGCACTTGGACTCGTGGAAGTGCTTTCGACTAAGACCCTTGGGCTCAGCTGGCGAATGATGCACGTTGGAGCTATGATGGACTGTTACCGTACTTCCGTAAAACAGAGGCATACTTCAGCCAGGATGTCAACAAACAAGAGCATGGCACAGATGGTCCAATACACACTGTGTCCGTGACAGCAAGCAGCAAAAGTCGGGTACATCCTCTGCGAGAGCCTCTCCTGAAAGCATGGAACGACATTGGGGTAAAGCGGATTGATGAAGCCAATAGTGTAAACCCTCTGGGTGTAGCCGAAATGATAGAAACCTGGAGGGATGGGAAGAGACGGCTGGTCAGTCAGGCGTATAGTTTAGAAGTAATCCAGATTCTGACGACAACAATGGTTGAAAAAGTTGTACTTGCGGAAAAAAGTGATGGCCCCTGGGCGATTGGCGTCCAAATCTTCGATGGGACTTGTTTTAGGGCAGATCGAGAAGTGATAATATCAGCCGGAACATATCGAAGTCCACAAGTACTGATGCTTTCGGGCATTGGACGGGCTCAGCAGCTGCAACGACATAACATCCCGGTTGTGTTGGACAAACCTCAAGTGGGTGAGAATTTTCACGATAATCTCCTGGTTGCAATTCCTTTCAAACTGAAAACCCCTCAAAATGGCTTGTCCCTGGGAACACCACTTTGGTCAGATCCAGCCTATCAAATGGGATTACCTTGTGACTGGATTATTACGGGCAGGGTACCTGGAGAGGAAATCAGGAAAGCTCTGGCAAGATACGAGCATCCTTCAGAATCAGCCAACTATCTAATGCAGGCAGGGTCATGCCACACAGAGACATTGGTTGTTTATGCGCCCGCAGGAGCACCCATAACAAACACACATCTGCCGATGGATCGGAGCCATATTGGTGCGATCGTCACGGCACTGGCCACAGAATCTCGCGGCAACGTTGGTCTCAAGTCGTCTGATCCGAGAGATTCGCCAGAGATAGATCCTACTTACTATGCTGCTGAGGTTGATCGTGCAATCTTTCGTGCCGGGATTCGAAAGGTGCTGAAGCTGTTCTATGACACCGAGGAAGGAAAGGCGATGGTAAAAAAGGAGAGCCCTCCGCTTGGTCTGCCTCCTCTGAAAGTCAATCCTTCAGATGAAGAGATTAATATCCGTGTCAGGTCACAAGGGCGGACATTCTTTCATGCGGCAGGGACTTGTTCGAAGGGCCCTGTTGTGGATGTGGATCTGAAGGTGAAGCGAGTGAAGAACTTACGAGTGGTGTCTGCAAGCGTGATGTCAATCCCAATTGCAGCTCACTATCAAGTTTGTGTCTATGCTATTGCAGAGCAGGCAGCCGATATCATCTTGCGCGACGCAAACAGTGATGGCGGCTGAGTACGAGTTCCTCATGCGTACATTACCTATTCCCGACAAGAGTTGTACAAGTTCCCTCATGGCTTTGGTTGGTAACTTCAAATGTATGAATTTCTGTATCAATAGCATAACAGCTAAGTGCTACCTTGTACCGATGGCGAGCAGGGAACTTTGGGTTTGATTTTGCATGCATGCCAAGGCTTATGACTTCAGAAAAGGGTCAAGTGCTGGGCTATTGGCTTTGGCTGTCGGCATGGCCCAGATTTGGGTGTCTTCTGGCCCCAGTCTGGCCGCATCTGCGCAGAATATATGCCGCTTACGACTACACTTGTAGGTCATCAATGCGTTCCTTGACGAAAAGAAATAGGGTCGGGGAAGCGAAATTTGAGCAAATCACGGACTAGGCTCAAAGGCTTGGTACTGTCTAGGTCACAGTAGCGCCAGATAGGGTTCGGCAAGATAATTCCCACGTGCACACCCTGGTGAAGATAAGAGATTACTCAGCTTTGTCCGAATTGCACCACGAGAAGAGAGGGGTATTTAACGAGCTTTCGGACAATGACTCTTTCCTACTCCTTCCAAAACTGGTGTAGCAGGTGTCTTGGGCCATCACGCTCGGCAATATCAGGCTTCCATGGATGATGCGGCCTCCGCGACGCTTCCTGTGGGTCCAATCCGACAACGAGGGGAGGACCGACGTGACAGCGATGCGATCACACATTGCCTATTCGGCGCATCGGGACAGGCGATTGACGAATGTGATTCGTTTCAATTCGTCAAGAAGACTGCAGGGTCACAAAGTAGGTGTACGATACTAAGTGGCACTTCCACTTTAGCACTTCTCCCTGTATGAGCTGGACCCTGACTGCATCCTACTCAGGTAGAAATCGGCCCCGCCAGCAAATTTCACAGCGTACAATCCTATCAGCATGAGCAGGACCGGGAACAGCACAGTACCAGGTCGGCTGTAACTCAACGACGGAAAGAGACCCCATTCACGGCGGCATCCGATTGCTCACAGAACTCACCCAGCCAAACCACAGATCTGTGGTCACTGTCCATCTACAGGTTCGGAACATACGATCAAATGCAGCCCAGCTCATCGCCTAAGCTCGCTTTTGAGCTCGATGACTGCTCTCTTGGTATGGTAAAATACTGTGTGTTGATTTCCCAAGACGTGTTGCATTCTTCGGCTAACATTGAGTGCCAATAGTATTCACAGACTGGATCCCGTCTTTGTACCCACAGAAACTGGCTGCCGTTCATCGTCATCGATTTTTTGAGATGGTTCACACCGACAGCATGACATGCGCTATCTTTCTCACATATGGATTCAGTCGAGCCGCTGTTGAGCTTCTGCAAATTAATGGCCAGAGGTCACTCTGGAACGGAGATGATCCTCGGAATCGGTACTTGTTGAAATACAAGGGATCCTGTCTCCGAATGATGCGTGAAATGTTCACCACTTCTTGGCCCATATCTGCTAGAACATTATACTTCGCGAGTGTCAGCCTCTCAGGCTGTGCGTTCATCGTGAACAATCCTGGAGAAGGGCGTATGCATCTTCAAGGAGCGTTGAACATTGCAAAAGCCATTGGCGGATTCCATAAACTGGACGAACTTGGACTGGAGGCAGCTTTACTCTGGGATATTCATCTGGCTTGCTTGACAGGCCAAAAGCCAACTATCAGCGATGACGAAGTAGCGTACGTTGTCGAGAAAATGCTACCTCAAGTCCCAGAGTGGCTCGAGGACTCCCGCTTGCGATTTGAAAATCTTCTTGGGGCCTCCTTAATTTCAGATGACAATAGCGATGTCTGTGGTGCTCTTCGAAGACTTTTCATCGCGACAGAGCTGCTCAACTCGTATTCGATTCGGAAAGAAGACAATATTAATGAGACTCTAGTCATCAGGACCTTGTTCGCAGGGCACAAGTTAAGTCATTGCGATCCGACTACAAACTCACCTAATATCGCTGCCGAACACAACATTCGTATGCTTGAGAGTATGAGACTGACAGGAATGCTTGTCATTTTCACCACCCATCTCAAGGCCACGAGGAAAAAAGATCTATTTGAGGAGCTGTCCAAAAGTCTTGAGGTGCAGTTGCGAAGCTCAGCTCCAGCTCTAGAGACTTGTTGGGGGCAGTACCTTGAAATTATGATGTGGATATTTTTTGTAGGAGCGCATGGCTCACCGAATGTGCGTCGCATCCTATGGTTCATTGAGAACATCCATCGAGGGGCTCACATTCTCGGCATCAACAACTGGATGCAGGCCAGAATCATTTTGAAAAGATTTCCATATATAACCAAGGAGTTCGATAAGGCTTTTGAGGATACATGGAACTCTTCCCATCTCGGGGCTCTAAAGCAGACTTCAATTTGAACGTAGATGGCATGTGTATCTAGCATGCCTGGTGTCACAAAAAAATTTTGGCCGTCCGGAGAATCTCAAGATTCCATCGTGCAGATCTATTACGGCTCATCAGTATGATGTTCGGCCACCGAGATATAGCATATGATAGTAGCACAAAGCATACTGACTCTTATAGCATTCCCTAATCTCAAATCAAAAATCGAGAAACTGAACTTGTACTTAAAACAAAAACTTGATAAAGTCATTCATCTCTCCTTTTCTTTCGCCTAGCGAACAGTTTGGGTGGAATTCTTGTGGCTCTCCACATAGATCTACCTGGGATGGACGACTTTAGAATCGGGGGCCTGAGTGTGTGAACAAGCCGACAATTAATCAGCCACTTCTACGACACGGAAACAGAGGCATTGTAGCTTGACACCCAGAATTTCGACATAACTTTGTCAGCCCTGCCGAGTTCCTTGAGTGATCCTTTTCCTTTGAATGTAACAAGGTATCTCAGAGCGTTCGGATCCTTGGACAGAGTGTTTTTGACGGACCTTGCTACAACGAGCAAATTTCTATCTTCAATGACAAGCCAGGATCCATATCTTTTCGAAGGGTTCGTCAAATTCCTTATCAATGTACGGGAATCCTTTTAGCCAAGCTTTTATATCGACCCATTTATTCAATGCCAGCAACTCAGAGGCTCGAGAGATACGACGCAAGTAGAAAGATTCCCGATGAGTATCCATCGAAACAAATGCACCCAAGAATGAGGCCGAGATCTCCATCCAGAACACAGTCTGGAGAGTTTTACTCAGAGCACTGAGTTCTTGAAGCCTCCCCAGAAGATCAGTTGCAACCCGGTTATACAGATGTTGATTCGGAGTTCCCTTGAGATGAGTCGTATAGATCAACAAAAGACCCGAGAGTCGAATGCATTCCATGGCTATATCGTGCCACACAACCGCCCAGTGCGAAGGGACAGACGTCTCTAGAGACCAGGAAAGGCGAGAGCCGATCAAGAAATCCGAAGGACTATCGTGTCTCAGACTTGGTCTTTCACACCAAGGCTGGTGTAAGAGTTGATGATCTCGGTTGCGGCATGAAGCTCAGCCATAACATCAATAAATGAGCACGACTCCCCGGCAGACAAGGAGCGACGGAGGAGTTTGCCGAATTGGGAGGACGATCTTTTCACAAATCCCGGCACTTCTGGAAGCAATGCGTACATAACCGGTGCGAGTTGGTCATGGGGTACAACTGGAGAACTGCCGCTTAAGCTGGCCAGCAGTCCTTCGTCCAGCAAGAATATCTCTAACAATAATGCTGGAATAGTACTGAAATCTCCGTTTCCAAAAGCAATCTGAGCAGAAGCGTGTAGGTGGAGGCGCCCCTCAAGAGGGTTATTGACCAAGAATGCACAGCCAGCCATAGTTCTGACGGCCGTGAGCACTTGCAGAGTCGAGTAGTTCGAGAGTTTCACGCCATTGATGAGCACTTGGATACTGACTCCCCTATACTTGAGCCAGTGTTTCTCGATCGTAGCCATTTTGTTTTGACCCAATTTGCCCGAAATTTTATTACTCCCAACCGCGAAATCTGGCCGGGAAATCGCAACGGCCATGTTGACTGTTAGTAAGAGTCTGTCTGTTGGAACTTGTTCAAAGTACGCTTGCTTCTGCAGAGTGGACGATTTGTGAGGATACAGCTCCGGCAACCATACTGTAAAGACTATCTCAGTCAGAATATCGGCTAAAAATTCGGATAGTTGATAGTAGGGTCTGGGCATGAGCTTACCATATCGTAGCATACTTGCGGAGTACTCATCTAGACATATTGGTAGGTTGCGAAAAATTTCAATTTGGCTCTTGCAGGTACCACATGGGCTCCGACTGGGAGGTTTCTGTGGCTTGAGATATATCTGTGTATCGATATTCACTCCAAGAGATACAGCAATACTGACAGTACTTCCTCAGCCTCCTTGCTTATGACAAGCCATTCGTGCGACCTCTGAGGAGCTCTGATTTCCTGATGAATACCGCGGAACGACTCTGGTGGTGTTCTTCCTATTTGCTGCGGGGGAACGATTTTGCCGGGTCTTATCAAACGAGTGATTTTGAGACGAAGGTTTCTCGTGTTGAGTCGCAGCGAGAAGGGCTGTACGATTTCTAGACTCGGAAAATCGAACGGTGGCCTTGAATCTCTTGTGTTGATGCTGATGCCGAGCAGCATGTGACTTTGCAAATGCTTCAGCCATTTCGCCTCCCTTTACGCGAATTCCATCAGAGGCGAGTTCCAGCCACAGATATCGCGTTGAGGGGTTCATTTCTACCTCCAGGCATGAATGCAACTCGGCAAATTAAAAAGTATCAATATTACGAAATGAAGCTTGGCAGCTCTACGGTGTCAGCCTATTATATTCGCACTCACGTGGAGCTCGCAGGGTTCAAAGGATTCTGCTCTAGAACTGATCAGAGTTAGTCTGAGCAGCTAGATCATCATAGACAGCTTGAAGTGGTAAGACCTCATGCAGTTGCGCCCCCAATCTACTTAGCATATGGGCAATGTAAAGTGTCAAGCATCAATGCAAAGTGTCAAGTATCAATGCAAGTGAATGCCAGCCTTGTTCCCATCTCACTGGCGCAAGACCAAACCCTAAAGGGAAGTAACACAGCTTGGCATGACCCACTTCCACCGATATCCCCTGTAGGTGGCTTTTCTGTCTACACTCAAAGGACGAACGCAAATGATGGTGCCCCTTCAATTTCATCAAACGGAACCAGGAGTGCCTCAGAGTTTGATGAAGAAGATTGCATTCTACTCCTCTGAAATCGTACTGACAGCCTGAAAGTTCTGCCGAGTCATGGAAAGTCGGCAGCGCTATCGCCTTTGGCGAACTATTTCGCATTTTACCTCGTGATTGAGATGTGCTTCGATACTGCTGTACGGAGTACGGAGTGCGCTAATGAGTTTTTGAGTATCGACCATACAGGGTCTTTCAAGTCGCCTTCCTATGACCTTCCTCCTAGACGCGGTTAGGGTTTTCGGAGGCTGCTTCGACAACTTCTACAATCCTTTGTGGCATACTCAAAAATGGACTATGACCTGAAGAAAAAGTAACGGTGGTAAAGTGATCTTGACCTAGAGAGTCTACCATGTGCCGCTGAAACTCAACCGGGAATGCTTGATCCTTCTCACAGAAGATGTAGGTAGATTCCACATCCTTGTATGCGGAGTAGGTTGAAGTGCTGCTGAAAACTGCCACATTCTGCCATTTTAGAAGCGAAGTGTAGTGATCCGCCTCTTTGAGATTGAGATCTCCGTTGAACCTATTACTCGTTTCGGTTGGAAAACACATTGTTTTGGCATCATTGAGGACAAATGAAGATGCGAGTAGTTCTTTGTTTGTAATAATAGGTTTCCCACTGGCAGCAATGATGGCAGCACAGTATATCAGGTGGGTGATAACTCCATGAAGGCCTCGAGATTGCTGATACCTGGAATTGAGGTCCCTGGCGGCTTCTGACGCCGGAGCGGCACTGTAGGAGTGCATGGATAAGATAAGTTCTTTCCCTTCGTCGATAATAGGGATTATCTTAGACTTAATCTCTGCACATCTTGTTGAAAGTCGTTCATCTCCTGTCTTCCACCCGCTGAAGGTATTTGGATTGCATATGTTGGAAATCCAGATGCCCTCAGAAGTGGGCATAGACGATCAAAGCAGGCGGTGGTGTTCTACGCTCCGTGAACAAGAACAGCAGTTGGCGTCGAAGACATGTCTGCGTGCGGCGTAGAAACAGAAGGTCTTTCTGGGTGTATAGAAAAGGATATTGGTAGATTGCCTTCATGTGGATATTTATAGCCAATAAATTGACTTATTAACGATCAAGAGGCGAAGGTCATATTCAATTGAGACAAGACTGAGTTTTGCCACACAATCCCATGAAAGGTTGTTCTGGTGAGTATGTGTCGCAACTTCTACATATTTCAGTGCTCCATAGGTCCCAATCACCTAGGGCAGCGACTGTCAAGGTCATCCGCCGTCTACTGATAACTACTCACCCTTTAGTTTTCGTAAATGATAATTGTTGAGGATGACAGATCTACTGATGCTGTTACTTAGTTAGAGTTGGATCTTGTCGCTGAGCTGCCAACAACTTGAATCTCTGGCTGAGGACAGCGCACACTTTGAATTTCGTCAACGTTCATAACGACCAAATATCTATAAAGGTTCTAAAATAGAAAGGATGGCGACGGATATTTGGTAGCCATTATCAATCCAGACTCGATAGAGTTCCAGGGAACGATCCTTTGCTCAGGCTCACATTTCGTAAGCGACCAAGATAGTAGGGCCGCAAAATCTCGATATCTAAGCTGAGATGAGCTACCTATCTGAGTTTTAGAAGTCCAAAATTCTCATCTTCATCCCTCACAAGCAATATTTGAACAGGTTATTTCTTGAAGAGGAGTTCTATATCTGATGCCGAGACAACATCGACGAATCTAGGCAAAATCTTATCCAACAAAAAGTCATTGATTTCCTTATCATCGTCCAAGACGCCCTCCTCAGGGATGATTATGTGAAAATCGAGATCTGCTCCGAGTCTAGCGCTCCCAAGCACCGCTCCAGCCGTTGTAAGTCCACATAGAATCACATGCTTAATGCCGCGTGCTCGGAAATATCCAAGTAATTCCGAGGAAGAGAAACTACCAGCCGAAAGTTTCGGAATGATAATTTCATCCTTGCTGCCCCAGGTATCATCTTTTGGGCGAAGTTCCTTCACTATGCGATACTGAGGATGATTGGGATCTTGAGCTTCTTTGTCGAAGTGTCCAGCGGCTTCCAACGCTCGTAACCAACGAGCCAGCTTGTTGTAGGGAGAGATAAATCCATTAGAATTGATTCCTGCTGGGAATATATGATGGACAATGAGCGGGACCTGGTCAAATAGTTGACCATGATTCGAAGAATTTGAGAGCCGTTGTCGGCGGCACTGAATTTCTACTCGGAAGAGATTCAGCAGCCTCGAAACATTTGCAAGCATATCTTTCAGCCCATCTTGTGGTAATCTACCGGCAATGTCATCCTGGATATCGACGAGCAACAGTGCAGTGGCGCCCAGATTGACGTCCACGTAGAATTTTGAAGCTTCAGACTTAGTGGCCATTGAAGTCAGTGATCTTTCATGAAGCGGGGCAGGTTGTTGAAGATACGGAGTGGAGTGACTTTGATACAAATTGTTTTTGGACTGAGTCTTCTTTATAAATCAACTGAGAGATAGACAGTGTGCGTCAGCACCTCTTTTAGTCCGCAGTAGCCGCTCGTCGAAGGTGGGCGCGTTTACGTAGTAGACATTGGAGATTTTTAGTCCGTCCTGACATCTGTCATGCCCACAATAGCGATAGTCTGACCAGAGATGATGTTCTAACAGTAGAGGTGAGTAACTTCAGATTACTGGTTAGCGCCTACGATCTGTTGTGTTGTAACGTTTTCGGAAAGTGTCCATGACAAAGTGGATTTTAATGATGTGGCAAACTTGCTTTTCCAAATACCAAGAGATGGGATCTTTACCAATAAAACGTTATGATGTAGGATGATCTGAATGAGGTGCATCTGATGGTTGTTCGACGGTCTAAGGGCTACCAATCGATCTCGTGTTCGTTACCAAGCTCAGACTCGGCCTTGACACCGAATTCTTCAACCGGATGGGAAATCGGGACTAGTCTCTACAACACTAATCTATGGATGCCTTTACTGACATGTAGTCCGGAAGACGCGATTTGCGGGATTACTCATGAACTCACAGGTCGACCACCTCAAGTAACGTGGTGTGGACCCAGGACGCAGCAGCTAGTGGCCAGAAGCTAAATGCCGTATGGGAAACGAGACCCGTGCTCCAGCAAGCCTGGCGTTATCATTTTCTTAGCTCTCATAGAGTCTCGTCAACGGTGGGGAAAACTCGTCGTCCGAGGTGATGGCAAGACGAGGTGAAGGTCACAAGTGAGCCAGTCACAGGGCGTCGATAATTGGACAATGTACTTAGGATCGTTATGGTGTGTCTGCGAAGTCTAAAAGAGCTACGAAGTAAGCTTCACCTACCTTGGCAGCCGTAAAGCTTGGCTTCGCAGCTGTTCCTCCAACAGCTTGCACGCCATGTAAATATGTTAAGCATAATATCACACGTACCGAGCGAATCAAACCTCCCCAAGAGGCTGATCCGACTTAATTGATTGTTCAAGTACTCCATCCAACTTAAGTGAGGAATATAGGTACTTTCCTATAAATTAAACCTTCCACGTTTCAATGACTTCTAGTAGCACCAGTGAGGCTTGAAGGGTGGGATAACCCCTACACTAGGCTTAGGACGATGCACCGCAAACCATTAGGTGAATAAAGTTGGCGATAAGACCACCTATCCGGGAGGACCCGACTACGTTGCAGGATTGCGGGCGCGGCCGCGGAAGGCTAGCTAATGGCCGATCGGGAATCCGCTCAGGTATCGCTCTATTGTGTCGCTATAAGTTTTAGTAAGGGTTTCCGTCCTCCGCCGATAATAGATATGAAACTAACACCTATTGTCTCTTTTATTGAGGCCGATCGATCGAGACTAATTATATATTCGCACGATCTATAGTAATTAAGTTAGAAAATCGAAGTAGTACGCGTAGAGTAAGCCTTAGATTTCATAAATAATAAGAGTTATACTAGCCTCGTTACCTTAGCCTTATTACTCTAGCCTTATAAAGATATCGCCTTATCAATTATACGATTCTCCTAGTTATAGTATCGACTAGCGCGATTATTATACTACGACACTAAAAAGGTCTATCTCATGATTGTCTTCCTCTATATTGTTGTCATTGTTGTCATCGTCGTCGTCGTCGTCGCCGCCATTTTTTCTAGTATAAGGTTCATACGTTGATACTTTCCAATTTAAGCCTTGAATGATCCAATTCTGCCAAAGTCCTGCGACGTATTCATCGTGGTTAGCAGATGCTAAAATTTTTGCCATACCAGATAGGGCGGGTAATTTGTCAGTTTCCCTCGTAAGACGTCGACCTGTGTATTCTTCGACAAGTTGTTCCCAGATACTGTAGATATTTGGTGGTTTTGCTTCGAGCAAGTCAGAAAATCCAACAGATTGTCTCTGAAACATAGCACCGTCTTCAGCGAATATGCCAGTTTGACGTTCCCAGAACATCTCGCTATTTGCATAATGGATTGTTTTAGGTGATAACACTCGCTCCTGTAAGATCCAAGCACGGGTGCTCAAAGGTTCTGTTGCAATAGGATCAAAGCGATGGCCGAAATGATCGATACAGTATGTCTTTGGATCTTGTTGCAACGAAGATGGCATCCACTCAAAAGTGAAGTAAAGTATGGATTAGTCATTCCTTTGGGTGTGGTCTGTCGCAATAACGGGAAAATTCCCCCACATCTTTTGGCCTGCCATGGTTTCAAGATCAGGTATGCTTGGAACCATCGGACTAGCATTCGGTAGAGAGATTCTCGCCGTAGCCAAAAACATCCAGCGGAATCATCCTCCTAGCTAAGTGCTAAAATTGTCAGATAAGCATCAGAATACACTCGTCCCATTGAAGATAATTCTGTCTCACAATCTGCCGAACTGTCTTGTATAATTTAGAGAGAGTCTATCCATAGATAGCGAACTTTGAGTGCTCTGGCGACTTCAACAGCGTCTCGAAAAGGTTCTGGAAGAATTTGTATCGCAATGCCTTGAAAGTGCGAGGCAATGTTTGCTTTGGTTGTGATAGTTCTGTGGCTGGTGTCCCAACCGTGACTCGAGACAAGGTATTGTCCGTGAAAGCCTTTCGCCTCAAATAAGAAAATCGAGTCGCCCTCTGATCTGACGTCTAGAACCCGGGTCGGAAGAGGTTTATCAACGCCAAACGATGAAAAACGGGCATGGTGGTGTTTGCAACCTTCAATCATCTGTTCCACCCTTTCTACAGCGAATACAGCACCCTAGTCCAAGGCACGTAGCCAACCGGGCACAAATTTGGCGGCAGGAGAACCTACAGGTCAGCATACTAGTTGCAAGGAATAGAAGTACTAACCATAGTCAGTCCGTACTCGAATGTAGGAACCAATCAGTCTCACGCGCTCTGGCACATTCCACTCAGCGTCCTCAACCTCTGGACCTTCACCAAGCCTAACACCGAGACCGACCAATTGAAAACCTCTTATACCAGCGAAAGGTGACCTCCACCAGTTGCAAAAAAGCCAAGGTCGGACCCGTCTTGGATCTGAGACAAGTTGAAAGGGATCTTTGTGTTTAGGTGTGCCAAATTTTGGGTTTTCGAAGTATCTCCCAAATGGCATTCTCTCATTCGTGAAATATTGTGTGCTCAACTCAAGCTGGGTAGGAATCAACATTTTTGCTCTTACTTAACGTCCAGATGGCAGAGCGATGGAGCGGAATTCAACCACTCCTTTTGAAATCTGGTAAGAACATCCGATGGCCCAAAGAATCAGAACGCATAGTGGGCAATCATAAGCAGAATCAGCCAAAGTTTCAAGGCTCTCATGATGAGGCAGAGCGTCTTCTTCTTCGAAGGGCAATTCTTCCCATGGCAAGTCATGGCACAGTTGGCACATTTCTTGCGCTCTTCCATCAAGATGGATAGACGTTTCAATCCTCCACGAAAAGATGATTCAAGTTCACTGATATCGGATTCTTGTTGTACTGCCACATCGACAGAGCGTTGATCTTGATGCTCATCATGCGTATTCTGTTGGTTAGACTGAGAAAGTGCAGACTGTTGATGAATGACTGATTATCTCGATCTGAAGATATTTTCTTGACTCGCTGACTTAGATGCTGGTGATGATCGATGTTTCACTATTTGGACAGGACGAGCTGGAGTAGCGCTCTCATTGATTTCTTTAGGTGAGCCTGAGAAACATATTTTGTCCGACTGTCTTTGTATAATGCTTCAACACTCTTTGGTACAGATCCTGATCAAACTGCGGCTACTGGTGAAATCCTGTTTAAGGCGCAGCTGACACTACCAGTTACGCTCGTATCCGATTAGTAGACATTTTCTAGATAGCCAGTCATATCCGCCAATCGCCAGACAAGGTTATGCACAGGCGAAGATGGGTTTCTTTTGCAACGATTTTGAGTCACCTGCCAAGTACGAAGATGAAGCTGCATAGTTACCACAACCACGTGCTCTGCATTGTCGAATATTGTTGGAGGCTTGGCGGTAGGGAATGCACTTCAGGAATTGTCCAATTGTCTCTGTTTTCTCTACTCATGGAGGCTGTTCTTCTCTCTATATAAATTACGCGTGGTGATGATCTAGAATGGCCTTTTCCGCATCTCCTGAGACCCTCGTTGAGCTATAATAACTGGTTATTGACCCTGTCCAGCTGAGGTTTTTGGTCCTTGTCGAGCTGATAACTGCACTAGTGGTAAATTGCGTTACGGCGAATCATTACGGCGGAGTAGAGAGGTCTTGGCAGCAACAAATATTGCTCCTAATGCGGCTCGCTTGATATTGCTAGTCACGTGACGTCCCCCTCATTTCATGGAGAGTATCACGTGTATGCCAATGCACGAACTTGACGTCATGAGCATACTTAAAAAGTAATGCCGAGGCAGAAAACAGCATACGGCGCAGTTTGTCGGGTCGTCACCAGCCCTGCTTGCCCATGCGTGCAATGACCTCTCACGGGAAGGCCACATCAAGAACAACTCTGGAGTCTCAAGGTAGCGCACGCTAGGTGCTTTATCTTTCATGGTTGTTTCTATCCTCCCCCGTTCGACGGCACCCTCAGTACTTGCCCTGATGTGCAGATTGCACTCCTTTATCTCCTTAATCCCTCGTCAATGAACGCTTACACGGCAAAGGCTCCGACCTTGTGGGATGCAACAATACAAACAGATAAAGATATTACTCATGTTTGGACAGGAGAAGATCATTAAAACTTCACAATATGAGAGGTAGGCTAGGAGGTGTACCCTCAGTCCTATATGCTACAGTACTGACAGAAAGCATCCTTGTGGCCAAAGCCGTCCTATTTCCTTAAGGCACTTCACATATCGTGTCAATAAACTCAAGACCCAGTACCAGATCAGTTTGGGCAGCGTCGAATAGCATACTTGAATGGGGAACAGTAAACAGCCTATCAGGCAGATATAAGTCCAGCAAGAGACGAGCAGATGAACTCGATGGGAAGATCCCCCTAAAAACAATGGAAGGTTCGCTGCATTTTGCATTCAATCTGTGATATTGAAACAGACCGTCCTATATAGCCCTTGTCCCTACAAGGTTGGCCCAAGGGACTTTGAAGGAAGCTAATGGAGAGCTTACCACCCGAATAGCTTAGTGTCAACAGTTATCGAATCCCGGGCCACTTCCCTGAGATGGTATCTGGTAATAATTCAGGTCCATGCAGGCTACGCATTACATGCCTCTCTTTGAGAACATCCACCTCACCCACCATTAATTCTCCGTCCTTGGGCTGATCGCCAAGCAGACCCCGCAATGATGACGATTTTAAGCAACGCTTATCATCTAGCTTTGTTACTTGACTTGACTTCCACCCTAAGTCGCACAAGGGGATATATGGTAGGATCCTCTTAGTGGGCTCGACCTCTACCATCAAGATTGCATGTTTCTCTGAGAGAAGTCTCATTATTCAACCAAAGTACTGGACTGAGAGTTCTGTAAACATGCTGCCTATCCCTAAGATACAATCAAGACATATCAGCAACAGTAAGGATGTAACCAAACGACGGACGCTACGTGCTTGTGATCGATCTCGTCGAAAGAGGTCTAAGTGTTACGGGATACTGTTCTACAAAACATGTCAAGCAAGCGACGGTACGTGCATATAAATGGTGAGGAGGGCGCGAGAAGCCAACAGCTAGTATGATCACCCATACCAACAATGTCGATCATATCTAACAATCAAGTTACTACTAAATGCGTGAGGTAACAGATGAATCTATGCAACGCCTATATAGGGTATGACGAAGCAATTCTAGTTTTCCAGGGCTTATTGCTAAGGGATTTTATAGCTCACCATCGACAACTAAAATCCTCGGTGCACTGGGCTTAATGCGGCTATTGCTCGCAGATATAGGATCAGAAGAGAAGGTCTAGGAATCTGTTCCCTTGTCGATATCTAACTCTAGGACTCATTCCGACCTATCTGAAACTCAATATCCGGAATCGAGCCCTACAATCATGGAATCGTTTGCTCAAGACGAACATCTGCCATCACCTACTCGTTCCTTGGATAATATGAAGTCATTAGCACATAGCCCGAGTTTAAGATAGATTTTCGCTGCCAGGCCCCCTCGGAAATCAGCAACACCTCACGAAATGGGTATGTGTGAGTAATTTCTATCCGCAGCTTCGGATACCTCATCTTTAAGAGGCAAATCCCACTTCCTAGGGAAAGAAGAGTTTTATTTCGATCATTCAGCAAATTGGGCGTTTAATTTAGATGCTGATCTATCCATGAGCTCTTGTTCAATCCCCACCGGCGAAACTCGAGCGACATACAACATTAGCACCACGAGGCAATTAGACAATTGGCCGATAATGGAAGGTTACTATGATACTCACCAGGTCGACACTACCGCCTTAAGAGCTAGACAATATTTATGCCCCGTATCTCTTAACGGAGCCTAGCTCATACGTTATAGCTTACCATACCACGACTTTAGCACATGAGTAGTTCCAAAATGCGGGACATAGCTCAAACGTAAGGACCGTCCTGTACCTTCAATGTGTACTCAGAGTTGTTGTTGGCCTTATCGCGTTTAGCTTGTGCCTGGCTTTAAAAAACCCAGGGCCACAGCGACTGGTAGTTGAGACAGCCAGCTAAGCTTTCCAAATAAGAAGGACGGAAGGAGACAAGACAAGGTTCAGGGATGGAATTGTGCTTCCAAACCAAGCTACATAATGGGATCCTATTCCTCGCTCAAGCCCGAATGTTCTTTCGATTGTGATTATAGATGCCAGTCTAGAAAACGCAGACCCTGCGCGAAACTGCGATTGATTGACGATTAGACCTAGAGGTGGTCAACATTGACAGCCACGTAGTATTGCTCTGTCCTTTGTCACCTCTCCGACGGCACAGTTTTTATCAGAGATCAAAGCGTGGCAATCGCGCCTATCACCTTCGACTGGATCGTCAAAATTTTGACCGTGCTCATGGACGCATCCACATCCACTCTAATTTGCCTGCGGCTGATATCGAGCAAAACGCCATCTAAGTCGACAGGACTCTTTCCAAAAGCTATTGGTTGTAGTTGCTGTCTTGTCACCCTCATTTATTGGCGGGTGACATGGCAAAAGCGCTTCGACCGGCGCCAGC